ACGTTTCTATAGGAGTTGCACTATTCTGGCCACAGCCAAAATGTAGGGAACCACCCGAATGCCTTGCTAAAGACGGGCAGTATTTCATGGCTGGTGAGCACTTGCATGTTGGAGATGTTGAACCATTTAAACTGTGGCAATGATCTTCTCTGAGAAGGGTGTTGGTATTAGGTGGGAGACTGAACAGGCATTCATCTTTGCAGTCAATTCTGTAGCTCATCCAGGGTCATCACTGGAAAAACATCAAATTGTTAATTTTTCTAGTTAAGAATTTTAGAAGGTTTAAGTAAGCCTCTTTGTTGACATTTGTTAATAAGGGTTCTCTGGTTTGTATCTGTTACAGGATTTCTTAAAAGACCTGAAAATGCTGTCCAGAGTATTTATATCAGAACATCATACAGAGGAGCCCAGGACTAACCCTTGTGAGCTGACCAGACGGTCTCTAGGTACTGTGACTGCACAAAGTTAGCAGAGGTGGACTCTGTGGACAAAAACTACTAATGAAGACAACAGATGGGATTTTTAGCATTTCTGAATGGATCGGAAGCTCTTTGTTGGGAACATACTGCAGATAAGAGGTCACTTTGTGCAAAACCTGCACTGGTCTTTCTGTTCATGGACATTTGCTGTGGTGACTACGCTGAAGGATTTACATCAACAAACGGATCTCCAAGTCAAAAGTCCTTTAAGCACCTTGATTGTGGCTCAGAGCAGCTGTTCTTTAGACTTATAGGCACTTTTTTTATTCATGCAGCAACAGGCTGTGACCAAACCCAGGAATCAATTCAAGTGGACAAGTGTCTTTGTGATCAGAGAGATGGTTCCTTGGTGGCTGTCTCTTCTCTTAACTCAATGTGATTTCTCATGCTGTCTTGTAAGAAAGCCTCTGCTGTCAGGGGAAGGAAAACATGAACCTATATGACACAGAGATGTGCCTATATTTATTTTTCATTGTAAGCTCAGTGTTGAAGGTTTGGTTTTAATTTTTTAAGACTCATTTTAAAAGTTAAATCATATTAAATACACCAGACCATCAATGGCATTAAAGGATGTAGATGCTCAAGTGGTTTTCCCTCTCTTGCTGGAAACAGAACTTGTAATTTCCCAGGGGTTTTAATAGAAATAAGGGAGAAAATGTCTGTTTATATTTTTTACTGAAGACAGTATTTTTAAGACACTTTTATAGTATGTGAACCTAAATGGCATCTGGCTGCTATCCACTGGTTTTTATAATTCTTCTTGCCTTGAGTTTGGTTTTTTTCAGTCAGGAGGTGCTGCAGCAAGAAAACTACAGCCTGGAAGAGCAGACAAAGTAGAGAAGAAGCACTGTGACACTCCCTGGAGAGCAGGTTTTGAAAGGAGTCCTTTTCTTGGAGGACAGTGGGTATTTTTCTGCCCTTACAGACAGATTGTCACCAAGGATATGATCTCCTGTTCATCCTCCCACAAGTATTTCCTTAAACTGGGGTTTGTGGCAGGAACTGCTGGTGAACAGCAGAGTGTGTTTAGATGCTAATTAGCTGTCTCATGGGATCTCCCACCCCTGCCTGGTAGCAGTGAGGACATTATTTCCTTTTGTCTAGGAGTGAACTATTAGTGTAGGTTTCTCCAGAAAGCATGTTCTGTGTTACGAACAACATCCAGGCAAAGTAAAGACCAGGGCTGTTTAGCTTGCTAATTAACTAACCTCTTCCTTGTATAAGGTGAGAAAAGGGAACATCTTGGAGTCAGTGATTTAAGAAAAACAACAGACAGGATTCATTAGGTAGAACTGTGGCTTCTGTTAAAATATATGTTATACAGAGAGAGAAACCATAGAGGCACATCAGTATCTGAACTGTACTGAGATTTGTCTGGTTTACTAAGCCCTGTATTGAAAGATTTGGCATGTTCCATCTGCATTCCTCATTTTAGGGGTTTTCTGATGTAAATGAAGAAGACAGTCCCTAAAAGTAGGTCATGCTGCATATACAGCAAGACATGGGAATACAAATTGAAGCAGCAAGTACACCATATCATGCCATACCTGCTCCCTGAGGCTATTATGTTTTGTTTTGCTGCAGATCTCATTTGAAATTGCTGTTTGTCATAATAAACTTTATTAAACATCTTGTCTCGTGTTCAAGCTGGCAGTATATAACCTCTTTGTACCAGGGTGAAGAACAAAACAAGCACCTTGCCACGAAGCGTGGGGCAGAGAAAGTACAGTAACACCTCCTGTCCAGCCAGCTGCTGCTTTTCTTCTACTGAAACAGAACTTTGTTTTAATAGGGGAGGGAAGTGGGGGAGTGGTGGGGGGGGTGGGATGCAGGGAGGGGGAAGGAGCTCTTGGCTCTGGCACAGATTTTATTTGGGTATTGTAAAACTTTGTTTTGCGTAGATACCATTGCTACAGCCATTTTCATGAAATGAACATACCTGAATTATCCTGCTCTAATGCAATATGTTTGGAAGTTTTTATTTAAAAGGTGGCCAAGCCTCAGGAGCAGTTTACAACATTCAAAGACCACAGCTGTGCGCCCTGTGGGCCAGGAGACAGTCAGTTCTCCAGTGGGACCCAGCAGGTAAGAAACACCTCTGTTTCTGTGTTCTTATGACTTAATGCAGATACTGTAGTTGTTGGGAACCCCATGGTACCCAGCCACGTTTGCTCTGTAAAGCCAGACACCTTTGTAACCAAACCTTAGGAGCGATTGCATAGCACTTGATTTTCTGCCTGTGGACACTCAGCAGTGGGACTGTGCTCATGAGGATGCACAGCTCTGCAGTCCCACTGGGCTGGTGGACTCCTCTCAGTGCCAGTGCCTCAGGCATTGCACCTCTTTTCTGTGCTCTGCTCTAACTGTAGTGCCGGAGGTGCCGCAAGCAGGAGAGCAATAGGGAGAAGAAACCTCACAGCAAGCCAAGTCTGAGTCTGTGGCCTTTCTTCTGCCAGTTCTTCCCGACTGCAAACTCACAATTCTCAAAAGAAAATTAGGGAAAAGTGTTATATTACCTTCCTTCTGAATTTGCAGGTCAGGGGAGTTGTGTAACAGGACTCAGGAAGATGCTCCAGCCAATGTAATTTTTTAAATAAAAAAAAAACCAAACCAAAACAAAACAAAAAAAAACCACAACAACCCACCTTTGCTGGGACAAGACACATGTCACAGAACCCAAATTTAAGCAGTGACTGGCTTATTAGCTCTTGTGTCACAAGTTCATATTCCATCTGCATTCCTCAGCAGGCAAGGAGGAGACACACAGCTGTTATCACAAGCTTGCCTTTGTGTTATTTTTCCATCCAGCACAGTTCCATAGATGGATATCTTATCTGGAGCAAAATAAGGTGCAGCACGTCTTCTTGTGTAGAAAATACCATTTATTGTGGATATGAAAATAGCAACCTTGATTTAAGAGCAGAGATGCAACCCTAGGTGGTCCAATACAATTGGTTTGATCATCTGCTGCTCAGCAGGAACTTACAGGAAGTTGGGGTTTGCCTGTTGTAGATTAACAAATTCAGTATCTGCTGGGTTTTTGTTTGTTCCTTCCAAACAAACCAATGCCATACATTAGCAAGTACCATAAAATGTTGTATTTGCAAAAGAAAACATTTATATAAATAGGCTTTTTAGTATTAATTGAAGACTGTATTAAAAAAAAAATTACATTAATTCAATACCAATAAAAATAAAACTTAGCTTTGATAGCATATAAAACTGGCTCAAACCAAGCATATATAAATAACTTAATTTGTAAACATAGAAAAAAAGTATATATAAAAATAAACATCTGATGCACTGTACAGTAAGACACTATCCTTCATAGGCACTGGCATCACTCAACAACAGGAGTCTCCCTAGATGTTTTTCCTACAAAATCTGCTTTATCACTAGTGCCATGTCCAAAATAGAAGGGAAAAAAAGCAAAGCACCGAGCAAATCTTTAGTGGAAATCTGTGGAAGCAGCACTGGGGACAGACCCAATACCCTGTGCTGTTGTTTCTGCTTGTTTTTATTAGGGTTTTAATGTAGTGCTTTTTTCACTCTTCCTTCTGGGTTTCCACCAAAGGAAATCTGTCATTTGTCTCACTAGCAGAAAACTTCTTCCATGAGGGATTATGGAAAAAAAAAACGCACGATGCTGCAAGTGAGCCATGCTGTGACTCAGTTTGGCAGGCTTTTAGGAAGAGGCTGAGCCTCACCGAAGAAAGGACAGTAATATACTGATGTTAAGATTTGTAACCACAACTATCCAAAGATAAAACAAAGCACATTTCTACGTGAAAAGTTTTGTTATACTACCTGGTCTAGTTTAGGGGGGGAAGCATTAGGCTGGCATGTATCAAAATTGCTCTTAAGTATCAATTTAAAATAGCTATTTTCTTTTCATTTAAAAGTTAATATATTAGTAACAGGAAGTAACATAGAAGCTGTGAGCCAAAATTATACCTGTCCAAAGATAGATATAGTAAAAGTAGATCTTGGCTCTTGAACTCAAAGGTGGGGAGTGCAGCTAACTTCACCATATGCTGGGAAAATGCACCTTTTACTGAAAGTAACTATGTTAAAGTAGCAGGCACTGACTCCAGTAAGGTGGATGCTTGAATACACATTTCTCACTTGACAAATTTAAAGTGCAAGAGCTTTTTGAATAATGTGGGTTTTTTTAGCTAATGAAAGCATAACATAGCAGTTTTTATTGCTTAGGTATATCTAAAGTGATTCTGTACTGTTGTGCTGAAGAATGAAATGAAGTTATTTGGATATTTGAGTTGGTTGTGGTTTTGTTTAAATTAAGGAATATGTGAACCAACTAGGGAGTATGTTGAACAAACACGTAAAGCCTGACAGCAGGATTGTTGGACTAAGTTCAACAGAAATCCCATGAGGTAACTGAATGGGAAGGGTCTGTACTTGCTGCAGTGGATCAGCTGGTCATGTTATGAACAAAGTGTGACGAGACTATGACCAGGCTATATTTTCAGCTCTTAATGCATTTGCGTAAATGCGTGTGGAAGAATGTTGGAATTACTCTTACTTGCAGGATTTAAATTCTACAAACAAGCTGATTACTGAGTATTACCCTAGTCACGACAAAGTGTCACTGTTTGGAACTGTCTGTTTGGTTTCTTTATTTCAAAGCACCTGATTCTGCAGTGCAGTAAAACTGTCCTGAGGTGTGTTGGTTTCCACTGATGCTGCATAGTGTAGTGGCAATCTGAAACACCTTACTGCAAACACTGGCTGCAAGCAGACAGCCACTTACATGAGAAGAATCTATCCAGGATGTTGGATGACTAGTGGATATTGCGCTGCTTTAACTTCTCTTCTTGAGGGGAAGAAAGGATAGGCAGCTAGCTAAGATAAATGATTTATCTACACAGTTAGGAATTCTGCATTTGATACTTATCTCAACATTAGAAAGTAGCTTTGCAGCTCTGCTCAAGAACTTATAAAAAGTCTCAGGCCATATGTGTACTGCTTCCAGCCTAATCTTCCTGAAAGAAAGAAGGTAGATCGCTGCTTGCAAACAGAAATTAAATAATACACTCAAAGATGCTGGCTATTGTAAAGTGAAGTCTCTTCCTCTGCTCTTTAAAAAGACAGCAAACCTTTCTGCTGTTCCATGAAGGTTTCCCACTGCCATCTCTAGGAGGTTCCCAACTGAACTTGCTGCATTTCTTCTAAGCAGCCTTGGCTAAAGCAAATGATCCTTTTCTCCAACTATATTTCCGTATAGTCCAGCATTAGCAGGAAGGCTCCTGAAGGTGGTGGCTGCCTTAGGAGTCAGCATTTTCCATTACCTTTACTGACATTTATGTCTCCTTGTGAAATGTGAGCGGCTGTGAAGTGTCCCTGTTTGTCCCAAACAAACACTTAAGTAGCAAGCAGATGTGCCAGCCGAGCAATCACCAGGGGCTGCCGCTTTGCAATGGAACTCAGGAGCCTTGCAGGGATAGCCGGGGCACCAAGATCCACCTGCAGGAATTAGAAGAGAGGCTGCATGTTGGAGTTTGTACCTGTTTTTCAACAGAACACTTCTCCAGCCTGAAATAGCTCTGATGTATCAAGTATACGTTAAGCATCACAGTGGTTCACAGCCAAATGCTGTGTAGTTTGTATCTTTTCTTTCCCAATTCTCTGTAGACTTTTAAAGCTTTGCTATTTGATGTTACTTGTAGCAGGTATGACCCACATTGCTTTTGAATTTGAGCCTGGATTAAATATTACTAGTTTGAGACACATCGTGTTACTGAAAACATATGCATGTACTAAAAGGCAATATGAAATGCACATAAAATTCTAAAATGCATATATACGTTTTACATATACATTGTAAAATTCACATACTAATTAATACTTTTTTTAAAATGTATTTTTAAAAAGTTTTAAATAGATAAGTTTAAAGGACTAATGTAATTTATCTCTACATAAGCACTTAAATAAATTTTACACGTTACGGCATTTTCTTCTTGACACTTTTAAATACTAAGTTCCACTGTCTCAAAGACAACCTACTTTTCGGATGAGGCTGTAAGAAATGGCTGGTGGGATTTTTTTATTCTTAATTGGAATACTGATCTTAACTTCTCTTTTTTATCTGTTAAAGAATAATATCTGTAAAGAATTAACAATTTAGGCTAGAAAAATTTAACAAGTATTTTCAGACATTTTGAACATAGCATACATAACCCGAGGTAGACTTCATGTGTCCACAGCAAGACAAAAACACAAACAGTGGCTCACCATATGAGAACAAAACATACTCTGCTAATAAACCTTTACAGAAGAGCTGGGTATCCAAAGTAGCATCTTTAGATGCTGGAAAAACTCGGGAATGTGTGCTTAATTACAGTCCTAGTAAGACTGTCTAGCATGCACTGCTATGCATCATGCTAGATAAGAGCATGTGAAGTGGAGGTAACTTTTATGGTCACTTCATGAAGTTCATGGAGCATAGCATAAGGATTGTGGGGTTTGTTACTTACCAGCTCTTTAGTGTTCTGCTACCCAACAGCCTTTTTGCATTCACAATTGGGGACACAGCAAAATCTTACCTGTGCCATGTAAATAACCCTGGTGATATCTCTTCCATTCACTATGTCAGGTTCCAGTATCCAAGCACTTGGTAAAATCTCTCCTCTCACTGCTTCTTTACAAGGGTGAGGCATGGATGCATCATAGACAGACTGAATAGCCAGGACAGACAAGTTCTCCTACATGTGACAAGGTATAAAGGTGACAACTTGAAAATTTTTTTATGCATATAGTAATTTATTTATGCAAATAGTAATTTCTTTGTTTGCCATAAGGCATATTACTTACTTAAAAAGAGCTCTTTTAATGAGAAATATTATTTCTCATGTGATATATTAAATATGTTCCCATCAAAATCTTGCATGTTTATAACCAGAATAGACTGTGTGATACTTATGTTACTGCCTGATGGGCCTTGATTGTCAATTGTAATTCACAAGACCATTTTATACGTAATTCACTTGTGTGATATTGGCATGGCTTTTCTTTTTGTTACACTGGCACTTCTGGAAACAGAAAGAGATGCACTTTACTTCTTTCTCTCCTTTATCCTTGAACCAGGATCTCAGAACAACTCCTCCTCTATGCTTCAGAGAGAATGTTCACTTTACCTCTTTGGCTTCTACAGTAATGCAGCAGAAATCCCGGGGTTGCTTTAGGTAACATAGGGAGGTATCAGTCACTAAATATACTGGGGAAAGAAAACACCCAAAACAACAAAAAAAGGGAATTAGACTTTGACAACTTTAACTTGTCACAATTTTCCTCTACCCCATAAATGCAGATGCATATTTTATTTTGACTTGTTGCCTGGAAGTGGAGCTCTAGCTAATATGCTGTAATATGTCATTAAAATGCTTTTTCAAGCTACTTCAAGTTTATCTTTACTTTCTGTAGTTTAGTTGTACTTCTTTGCAAGATGTGTTAATTAATCTTTATTTGGGATAAGTCTTGCAAAGCTGAAGTTCCCATATTTCCTAATTAAACTGTTTATTTGGACCTGAATATATGAAATCAGATGCCTCTAAATTTCTTCCTGGCTGACATCCTGAGCTGAGAAAGTCCATCATAATGATAAGGTGGTCGGTCATTGGTGTGGATACTCACCCAGGTGAATGTGGCTGGTTACCTTCTTGTGTATTCGAGCTGTATTGATAGATCTGTCATACAGATGCCTTTTGCAAGGATCTCTCACTAGTCCCCACACATAGGAAAGAGGTCTTTCTATCACTCCTGCTCCCAGAAACCCATGCCTTGTTGCTGAAGGGAAGACTTTGTAGTACACCTGCACCTCTTTTTCTGTACATTGGTATCTGTCAAAGACAAAAGTATTTGCACACAAGGGCCAGGTATAGAGAAAGCCCTACCCGTTATAGAGACGTCCCATAAACTTACTTCCACCCAGCTGCTGCTTGGCACGTGTAGAGGTTCCTCAGGTTATGAGAGCATGCTGCCATTACCTTAGAACACAATGACAAATGACACCAGCTTCACTCAAACATTCCAGCTAACATGTGACGATCTGCACCCCATGGCTGCAGCCTGGCTTACTCTTCCCCACCTTTTAAAACTGTTTAGCGTGTGCATCTCTGTGTCTGACAAATAGGTAACTATTGGCAACGTAGAATAAGACTTGTCCTACCCGCTTTTGCTACAACTTCTAGAAGGAGATACAGAAATAAGTGAAAACTCCGCTTTTTTACTTACCTCAGTGGTAGCATTAGCCAAGATATGTTTGGATAAATCTTGGTATCCTTTTGTTGAAGAGGAGTTGACAGAAATAGTTAAACCATGAGTGAACCTACAGCTGGTGCTACTAGAAGGGAGAGGTGGTTGAATTCTGCTGGCTTCTGCAGGAAACAAAAAAGCCGTAGAGGAATAAAAAAAAAAAAAAGAAATTATTATTGAAGTGTAGGGATTACAATCCTCCATTGGAACACCCAGTCCATCTGATCTTAATGAGGTACTGATAACATCCCTTGTCTAGACAATCTGTGTTTTGGCAATTACACCAAGTTACATCTTGCATTACTCAAGTTTTGACAATTATTAGCACATATAAGAAAATAAAGTAACCCAAGGAAGAATAGGCAACTGAAGTCTTGAGGCTAAAAATAAGAACTTGCATGTACAATTCTATATTTGTTGCAGCTTTAGCCCCCTTGTGCTTTCTTCATTCATTCACAGCATTATCCTCATATTGTCTCAGAATGCTGTACTTGGATGTTACAACATCAGAAGACCAACTTTAGAGGAAACAAATCACCATTTGCTTCTTCAATAAATTCTAAGCAGGCTCTGGCTACTGGTTGATGGTATTTTTCTGAAGTCATGTAATGGTAGAGACATCCTCAAATACCTAAAGTCAAATTAGATTTTGATTTGCATAAATGACAAATGTCATTAGGCTTTGGGATACAACTCAAACATAAGCAGATGTATGATGTACTCACCAAGTGTTGAATCCCTCTGAAGTTGCTCTAACATATAAAGCTGACTGTTTCTAACAGCTGAACGACCTCGTGTGTCTCTTGAAACCAATGTATTTCCAGAAGAAACCTGATTTAAGAAAGGAAGTGCAGAAGTGGGAGCTTTTGGTGTGAACCGGAAAAAATAAAGTGTGTTACATTAACAGCGGAATATTAGTAGCAAATGTGCCTTACAAGGTGGGAAGCTTCTCTTTATCGTAAGGTAACACTTTTGCCTTTCCTCTGGTTATGAAATGATACCTTGACTCAGGAAATTTTGCAAACCAAATGTAAGGAGCTAGCACAGATGCATACTGCAGAAGTAGCTTTAGGAAAATCTATGTTAACACACAGAAACTCTTAAGTCAATGCATGTATCAGTGAGGGAGGCACGCTGAGAATATCAGTTTCTATCAGGCTTATCACAAGAAAAGGCTTGTTGTTTCTAAAGTATTTGACAGAGGGTGGCATTACTGACAATAACAACTGACTTTTATCTGCGTGTTACAAAAAAAAAAAAAAAAAAAAAAAAACACAAAAAACCCCCAGAAAAATTAAAGTGTCACTGTCCTTTGAAATTAATGGTAATGCTCCCACCACCCCACGTCACCCATCTGTGTACTGGTGATGCAAACTTGTCCTGCTCAGTAGCTGTGACAGAATACAAATCATCTTAAAAAAGGCCTCTGTTCCTGCATTATGGCTCTGTTGTTGAAGCATCTGGAGACATCAGTCTCAGAGACCAGTGGTTTCTCACCTGTGCTTCCCTGCTGCTGAAGTTGCTTGCAGTATATGTAGCAGTATTACTGCTATTGTAACCAGATGTTGGGCCCGAGGAGAGGCTGAGGCTGGAGTCTGTACATAAAGTGCTTGTACTGGCAAGAGTCTTCAGCCTCACTTCTTCCTGTAATAGATATCACAGTATTACAAAGAAACCCACACAAAACTGTCTGTGCACAGCAGCTAGTCAAGTCAGTGATAATACACCAGAAGATGAAAGAGGAGTGATCCAAAGAAGTCCGGTTTCTTTCTAGGAACAGTGACAAAAACCGTTGCCCTACAGAAAGTATTAAATAAGCAGGCTTGTTTGAAAGACTAGGATTATATAAGGCATAGAGTGAATCACCTTGCAAAACTTGGCAGTCTGGGAAGATGCAGCTTTCGCTGTTGTTATTCTTCACATACAAGAGCCCCAGCTATTAAACCAGTGCTAGGATGTTTTTAAGGGGTTTTTTAAAAAAATCTCTTTTCAGTCCTAGTTTTTGCTCTTTCTTTACTTCTCAATCCCCTTACTTAACTTGCTGGTCAAATGTAGTTGTTAAAGACTGAACCTTACCAACACAACTACACAATGCTAGCCCAGAAAAAATTACATAAAAAGAAAACACTGAGAACTTCAAGATTATTTATACTTTCAATATAATGCTCACCTTCTGTAGCTGGGAAAATATTTGTTCCCGTATACGCCTTTTTTCTTGCTCTGCTCTCTCCCGAAGTTTGTCCCTTGCTCGGGCAATTTCAGTTTTGGTTTCTTCTCGTGCCCTCTGGTAGTCTCGGAGCAACAGTTCAATGTCTGAAGGATGCTGAATGCTTCTTCTTTTTGGTTCTTGAACTCTGTAAAAATAGGCAAGTAAGGGGAAACACAAATAATTACATGAAATTTTGCCACCTCTACAAAATACCATGAGAAAACCATATTTCCCCATGGAACAGGAAAGTTTGCCAGAAAAGCAATTGAAACCCACCACATGGGCCTCCAAAAAGTTTCTCTTTGCTTGCTAAAGACTGAGCAGACATTAGTCTTGGAAAACTACTCAGACTGCAAGTCCAGTTTACCACTGAGATAATTGCAGTGATTACACTGGTTGCTAAATCAGCTCTTCATATGATCTAAGGTCAGGGCTTTGGCATATCACATGTGAGATTATTATTTTGGAAAAATAATTATCTCCTGACCCCAAAGGAAGCAAAACTTGTTAGGGGATATGGTGGGGAATCAGAAACTGAAATTCTAAATAGTGATGTGTTGCAGAAGTTTTCTGAACTGAAATGAAACTGAATTCTTACAGAATGTAGCTTTTAAGTTAATGAAGTAGTAAGAAGACAGATTGGTCTCTAATCAGTCCAGTCTGAATACTTGGCTATCCCCATCATACACATATAATAAATTAGACACTTGTTATAGACTTACTTAAATAAAACTAGACACAAAATTTTAATGATTTTTTTTTTTATATCAGGCACATGTTTTTTCTGAAAGCACTTTCTATCCCAAAGGTTTAATGTGTTCATATTGAGAAGAATTCTGCCATGGAAGCCTTGGATGTCGGTCACAACCATTAATGGGTGCCCATTGTGAACGCTGCTAATGAACATTAGGCCAAAAGAGAGGTTTCTAATGCCCTACCGGGTATTTTCCACCACATCTCTTCTCAGCTGCTGCAGATATTCTCGGCGTCTGCTAGGGAGATCTAGATCCCTCTGACTTGGTTCCAGAGGCTGGAACAGACTCAAATGCTTTTGAGGACTCAGACTTCGGCTTCTTTGGTATCTTTGCAACTTTTTTTCTCTTTCCTTCCTCAGAGTTTCGATAGCTCTCATGTGTCTGTTAGGGAAACATGATTACAGTGACAAAATGCACCCTGCAAAGTTACGTTTTCTGATTTTTTTAAAGTACTTAAATATTAGGTAGCTTTGTAATGTAAAAATTTATAGGAATCTAATACCATCTAATATTCCTTTGTCCACTGACAGATGATGCAGAAATTCTAAAACTGCTTTTCTAACAGCAGGAAATGCATGAGAGGGTCTTGGTTACTGCTCGTACTAGCTGAGAGACAAACTGAGGACGGAGATTAATGCAGAAGCTGGTAAATTTTTTGTTACAAGAGTTTCCTATACTTAATTCTACAATCAATCGGAAGAATCAAGGATCTTGATTTTTTAATGGTTTATTTTGCATATTTATGGGGGTTTAAAATTTATTTAGTTTATTCATACTGCAGCATTTATTCACAGAAGCATGAATGAGATATCCCCATAAATAGGATGTATCAATTATTTTACATTGCAATATATCAATTAAATATATTCCCACCATCACCAGGTACACATGAAAACGCTCATAGCTACTAGAAATTTTAGGAGTGGAGTGGCACAAGATTCGAATTACATCTAATCATATACTTTTCCCTGTTTTTCATGAAGTAACCCCAAAATTTTGTCTCAAATGCATTACTTAACAGTTTATAAAATAAGCTTAATACCATATCTCTTCACATATATTTCACTCAGTCTAAGTGATTAAGTGCTCATTACTAAGTGCTGTTTAAGTTGCATGAAGTGGGTTCAAAATACTTAATACAGCACTACTTCAAGCAGTTTACCTTTCATAAAGTTGCTGCTTCACTGGAACTGCCACTGTATCGTCTGCGTTTCCGCTCTGAAGGACCCTCAGCAGGGCGTCTGTTTCCCCGATGCCGTAATTGAGTTTTGCTTCGGTCAGTTCCACTGTGAGGGGATGCTGATGCAGGTCCAGGTGAATGCCAGACATGATCTGGGCACGCTCTCGCTGAAGTCTCTCGATCTCTCTGCTCCTGCTGTCACAAAGCTGGGATTTCCCTTCCATTTCTGTTGCTCGTGTGCTTCTAGTCATCTTTTCTGCCTGACTTCGTAAATCGGCCACACTGCCACTCAAGCTGAGTAACGATGGAGGAGGGCTGCCCTTAACACCACACCAGTTGCTAAATTTATTGTGTACGGGTAAATCACGGAGACTGTAGCTCCGAGGCCTGTATGGTTTTGCAAAAGTACTATTTTTGTTGAGAGGAATTTCAGTGTCACATTCACTTTCAGTGGTAAAACCTGTGTTGTCGTCTCGGAAGGAAGTTTGCACATCACTCACGTCAGAGAGTGGGGGAGGGCAGCTGTTTTCATTCCTCCAGAAGAAATCATGAAATTGTAGAGAAGATGCTTCTACCAGAGGTTCTGAGGATGTGCCAGCATTTGTCTTACTTGAACAGGTGGCACTAATTTTTTGATTAAAAAATAAATCAGCATTTGGAGATGGATAGTTATGAATCAAAGCAGTATCAGAATTCCCAATGTACTTCTCATGTCTAATTCCAGCTGAAGAATCTCTTCCTCCCCTCGTAACGTACATACAATGGAGTGAATGTGCCAGTGAACCGTGGTCTCTGACATCACCTGTTACAACTTCACTGTGGCCCGACACCTCCAACATACTGCTAGAGTGATACAGCCGCTTTGCACAAATGGTAGTGTGGGTGTCAACCATCAGTCTGTGCTCTTGCTCCAAGTCTTTTGAACCATCCTGTCCTAAAAGCTCTTTGGCTGCTTTCTTCCCTGAGAAACTTCCGGATTTCTTTCTTATGTCCTGATGTTCTGTAGAAGTGCTTGATTCACTCTCTGTTTCTGTCTGTGAAAAATTGTCTACGTGTGAGTGCATGCTGGACTGTGGACCTGCCCTCTGCTTTCTCTGGTTGTGAAGGGGACTCGAAGCAACACTGGAATATCCAAGACGTTCCTTAACAGGGCAGACAGACTTGCTAAACGCGGTCTGGCGGTTGGGACTAGCACTAAGAGTAAGAATAGGGGAAGAGGCCCTATCGACTAGTAGGGTATTTTTGTAACAAAATTTTCTTTCTGCTGGAGCCTCTGTTTCACTGACACTTCTTTTATCTTGCGTGTAAGATGTTGGAGAGTAGGAGGTGCTATTAGTAGGACTGCTAACTACAGTGCACGAAGAATCATCTTGCCCTGAACTTGGCAAAGATGATGTGAGAGATGAAACCCTGGTACTAGCAAAAGCATCCTTCTGTTGTGCATTAAATTTTGTTTTCTGAAAATGTAAGATAGGTGCGGAGGTTCTGGATAAGAGAGGCAGATGCATAAAGGAGTCTTCCAAAATGCTGTCAAGACTGTCGTGGAAGTCAGGATTGCCCAGACTTTTCAGCCCTGTTTGTTCTTTTTTTCTTTCTTCAAGAGACAGCATTTCCTCTTTCCTTTGGGGAATCTTTCCTACTGTATCTCCACCAATTTCTTTACAATTGTTTACTGCCTGAGCTGCCCTCGATTCATTTTCTATTTTTGCCTCCACTTGTTTTTCTTCACGTTTGCTTTGAGGTTCTTCCAAAATCTCGGTTTGAGTGCCTACATCTGCTGTAGTCTGCGTGCAACTATCTGATCTGGTAGTCTTTACAGCGTCTTCAGTTCCTCTTTGATTGATTTTGGCATTCTGCTCATTATCTATGGTACTCTGTTGGGAGAGGTTTCCCAACAGCTCAGAAGTGTTCTGAAGAAGCTGTGATAGATGCATGGACAGGTTCTGCATGCTTGTCCAAGAAGGTTGAAGAAATAAATTTCTGTTTGTTTCCTCCCTTTTTGCAGAAACATCTGTATAGCTTCTCTGATGTCTTCTCTGCCTTTTATACCTTCCTGTAGTTGCTGTTTGTGTTCCCTGCTCACATGTAATCCCTGGTAGTTTTTTAGAAGACTTTTCAGACTCAGAAGGATATAACAGTACGATTTCATCAACCTGCATAGAGGAGTTACCAGGTTGTGCAGAAGGATTCTCAAATTCAGCAGTGTTGTTTTCTGAATTAGTTTCCAAAGTTTCAGTGGATACGTTGCTATACTGCTTGGTACTGTCACTCGAGTATGCAGATTGAAAGTCTTGTCTGGCACTGTCCCATCCTTGAAGACCTTCAATGCTACTTAAAGTGCTTGATAAAACTTTTGCTGTAGCATATGAACTTAGATGAGAATGAAAAGGAGAATTTTGAGAATTCAATCCGTTGTCTGCACTGGAACATCTCATAACTTTATGATTTTCCATACTTAGAGGAATTTGATTGCAAGAGACATCACTTGCACTTCCAAAAACATACTGTTTCCAGCCAATCTTGCATGATCCATCTTGTTGCCATGAGTGAATATATGGGTTGATATCACTTGAACTAAAGTGGATTACATCTTTATTGTCTTGTGAAATTAAATCTGGTTGGTATCCACCTTCTTCGCCTTTCCCTTCGCTACACTGAGCTACAGAACTACTCTTTGAATCGACATTTACTTCTGCACCCACAGGACTGGGAGCTGTGGGTAGTAAGCATGATGGAGATTGAGTAGCACAGTCTTTTAAAGACTGGCTGCTTTGGTTCCTTCCTGCAAAATTTTGTAAATTTTTGGGATCACAGTTTGTAAACTTCTTCGTTTGTGCCATTCTTTGCTGAAATCTGGGTTTAGATTTAACCTTCAGAAAGTTCTTTGATTCCTGCTTTGAAAATCTTTCAATTCCATAGAGATCATCTTCAGTTGGTGATGGAGGCTCTACACTCATATTTAAATCTTGTAGTGATTTAGATGCAGAATATAACAAAGAATCTGCCTTAGATGAAGCTTCCAAAGTATATTCTGTATCAGAGAAAACAGCAATAGCTGGGGCTGATACTCTGTGACTTTGTAAATAAGGTCTCTGTTCACTTTGTTTACAGCTCTTCGTATTCTGTGTAGCAGAATATGAACTTTTGCTCCTGAATTGCACCAATTTAGATTCTTGAGGAGGCAAATCATGGTTCTCTGGCAAAAACTTTATGGAGGTAGTTTCATTACTTATTACAGAAAACTTCAGTCTTTCTGATTTCCAAGTTTTATTCCTCATTATAGTGTCTCCAGTTGTTGAATAATTGTCTACATTGGCATCATCAGTAGGGCTATCAACACTTGAACCTGTATTACTTTTGCAAGGTAAAATCTCTTTTCTCCTCTCTGGATTTGTTCTGTTTGGTAGGTGTTCTATGTGTTCACCTGTAGGCACATGCTGACAATTATCTTGCAGATCTGCAGGGTTTCTTTCAAAACCCAAGACAGTGTGATACAGGTGCCTGAGATCAGCGCTTCTGCTGTGGGTGGGATATGCTGGACTAACTGAACTGCAGCTGTGGTCAGGATCCACTTCAACATCTCCTGGATACAGATTTTCAAACACTGTAATTTCTGAGCCTATTAATTCATTTGAAGAATCTGAGGATACATTAGTTTGCTTTTCATCAGGTTCTCTACTTAATGTTTTTTTCTGCTCTGTCTTTACTGCAAGGTGTTCAGGTTCAGTATTTGAATGCAATTCATTATTGCAAAAAGGTAACAATGGTAATAAAAGGGGATTATCACTTAATATTTCCTCTGTGTGTTCTGCGTAAGTTTCGCGTGGTAGAACCTTATCCCAGTGATGCTGATCGACTTTTATATCATTGTCAAGTTTTTTATGATTACTTCCATACACAGGTTCCACATCTACGGCAGAATTTTTGCATGGACTACACTCGGTGTCTGACACTGGGCAATGCCTATTTTCTTTTGCAAGAGAAAGTAAAATACTTCCTGAAGCACATACTGGCTCATCAAATACAACAGCCTTATCAGACTGAGTGTCTTGTATTTGAGAAACAGCAAATGGAGAATGTTTCAATATATTGGAATGTGAAATACCATATGTGCCAGTTTCCCCGTGGCCTATATCTGCAGCTAAAGAAGATTCTGAAAATGCCACTAAGGATGGGTAATTGACACTCGCAAATGCTTGGGGAAAATCTTCTTTCACAGAGCACGTGTCTGCAGAACTGGAGGCCACTTTCTCAGTCAAAAAAATATCCTGAAGTGAGTCCCCAAGCTGACTAAATATTAGAGGTTTTGAGTCCTCAGGTAAACAAGATGTGTTACAAGCACTGAAATTCTTAGAGCTTTGAAATGGTGTATCAGTTGGAGTTTCTTCTGTTGAGTAGGATGAAAGAGACTTTGATTTGTTATTCCCAGTCTGCCCTTGGCTCTGGAAAGCAAGCAAGCCTGATCCTGGTACAGTCACACCATTAGTGTTACTGCTGTGTTCTGAGTATTCATGAACTTTATTTTCTTTTATGTCATTGCAGTTCTGGAAATAACCTTGAATAATTTTCTCCTTTTGATTTCTTTCCAGTTTTTCAGGGATTTTATTATTCTGAGCATATGTGACCTCTGCCACTGCAGAATTATTTTCCTTTTCATCTCCTTTTTGAGAAACACCAGGAAAAGTTACAGATACATTTAAATCAGTTGATTCACTTTCAAAGTATTTTGTTTCTTCAGAGAGAATAGCATCATTTTCAGTTTTGTCTCCATTGCCGGCAATCAAATTACTTGCAAATGATGCTGGATGATTCAGAAGACCAGGAGAATGTTCAGAAGCACCCAAGTTCCTATTACAATTTAGAAACTCTTTACTATAGTGTGAATTTTCCCTTGTAGACTTGTTCAGGCCTTCTGAAAGGGTTGAAGCATGCTCAGAAACAGCATTGCCTGATTGGTCTGTGCAGCACTCTTCGGAAGTTTCGTGCCCCTGATTTTCTCCAGGCTCGTGCTGATATCCAGCTGCACCAGGAAACTTGGCGTTTTCAGTTTTACTGTTTGCTGTAGGATAGCCTGTGTTTAAAAATTTCTCCTCCTCATCATGCAGTGATGAACTCCCCGACTCAAGTACTATCTGGGTTCTATTAATATTGTGAAAGATTTTTGGTGTAGAGATTTCTAGGAAAGAATGCATTTTCCCCATCCCTATGTCTTCCATCACTTCTTTCTCTGAAGAAGAAAGCAGGTTTGATTTATCCAAGAGCAGTGAATCAGGCACAATGGTATCCTTTTCCTCCTGAGGTGTATCTTCCATGGAATTAAGACAGTCATTTAATAGTTTATTAACCATTAAATCTATACTGTGTTCTTCATAAGCATCCTGAATAATATCTTCAGAAGAATCTAATATTTCCAAGGAAAATAATTTTCCTTTGGCTGTTTGGTGAAGTACAACAGTTTCAGACTCAGGACCACCTGCACTGCAGGAAGTGAAAGAGCTGCTCTCATTGACATGTGCAGATATGGCATGATCAGGTGCATTTTTAACTACAAAGGATTCTTCCTCCTGCCTTTCTGATGTGGTCACGGTATGTGAGAAAGCTACACTCTCACTCTTTGTTTTATCTGGAAGATGTTTGTCTTCTCCCATTTTGTTGCCTGTAACAGATGTGCTGACACCGACTTCACTCTCCATTAATGTTTCATAGTAAGGCAGAACAGCTCCAGTTCCAAGACTGCTGTTAGATGGTTTTGTATGTCCTTTTGATGCAGTGGGAACATCTTGAACAAGATGGGAATCATCATTTCCTCCAAGATATAAAAAGTGATTTACAGACTGGCATGGGGAGTCTTGAAGTTCCTGGATTTTTTCTGTAGACTTCGGTGTTGCTGGTGGATTTTGCTGCTTGCTGATGTCTTCGTTCTTTCTAGAAAAGCTGGTAGACACCCACTGGCTTTTTCTTAAGATTTCATTTAATCTGCTGTCATCATGTGTCATTTGGTAGCTATCCTTGTTTTCAGGGAATAGTTCATCCAGGTTTTCTAAAAAGATCAGTTCTACCTCCTCTGTGTTTTCTACAAATATCTGCTTTTGTTTGTCTGATTTGGCCATTTGTACTAGCTTCATCAAAAGCACTTCCTCCTCCTCAACTCTACAGCCTACTGGATCCAATTTACAAACATCAGGTCTTTTTCTAACAATACCAACATTCAAGTTTTCTGAAGTGCTGTGCTCAGGAGATTGCATAGCACAACTTGTATACCTATGTCTGTCAAGACTTGTAGATTTTTGTTCAGTTCTACGTTGGTTGTTACCAGCACTGTCATCAACTGAATATTCATGTGAATCGACTACATTTCCTGTCTCTGTAACAGAGTCTACTGAGTCACCATCTTCACTTATTTCAGTAGGATCATGGTATCTTGAATCATCTTCCAACAGTATATTCTGTTCTAGTTCTGAAGCTGTCAGGTATCTTTCAGGGATCTTAAACTGATTTAAACTCTCCTCTTTGTCATCTCTGTCACAATATGTCTGATGCAAAGCTGGAAACTGTTCAGTAAATAAAACATTTTCATCTGTGCATATGTCTTCTTGCAGCTCCTCGGTGTATGTCACAGTAATTTCTTTTTCATTCCCAGTCACTTCACATTCATTAACTTTGTCTTCCTGGGGCAAACAATTGGGTACACAATGCTCAATTGAATTGTTAGAACTTATTTGTTCTTCATTTTCAAGTTTTTCTAAAGTATTTGCTCGCCTCCTTGTGATTAGTACTGTTGCAGCTACATTTTCTGTTGTTCTGTTCATCTGTACAAGCCCCTCACAAGTATCAAGGGACCCTGAAATATTCTGAGCAATATCTGTTGTGTGGGAACACACAGCTGAAGGAGTGGTTTGGGGAGCAACAGAAAGCTCTGGTGAATAAACACGTATTTCTGTTTTCTCACTTTTTTCTCTTTGGCAAAAGCTGCTTGTTTCAAGTTGGCTGCCAGAGTGCAGGAGTGCTTTTGATTCCTGAATGTGTTCTACCTCAGTGCTGGCTTCCTGCAGTTCATCTTTGTCCACTTCTTCATGCCTCAGGCACAGATTTGTATTAAACTCACACTGAGCTTCACAAGCTACAACATCAGTAGGTTTCTTTGGATTCTGAGATAGACTAATGTCTTCAGTTACTCTTCGAACTTTGGCTTCTGGATTGTCAGGTAAACTTTCAATCTGTCTGGATTTAATTTCCAACGCATTTTTTTCTAAGTTGATTGCACTATTGGTTAATTGGTTAATTATTTCTGCATCACTGTTTGCCTCTGTATTCTGATAAGGAGCTATGGTTTCTTCTGGATCAGTTTCTAAGTTTCTTAAAAATTTGGATTCTTTTTTTATATATGAACTCTCTTCTTGAGAAATGGTAGCTGGTGGATTTGTGTTGCATTCAAATACCCTTTCCAACTCTGAATTTACATCATCTTCAACAAGAAAGATGTCCTCTGGGCAAGCACATTCAAAAAAGGTTTCTTTCTCTTTTCTTGATTCAAGAAAAGATTTGTTCTGTGTTTCTGTTTCCAAGGGAATGGTAGCATCAAATTCCACAGAAATGTCAGCTGTCTTATGTGTACTGTTTTTCTGCTCTGTTGATTTTGAAGAGCAGGTTGTGCAAAGGCAGCCAGAATGTACGTCAGAACAACTTTCTGTGGCATTGACTTCCACAGTAAGACTAGACGTATCATTACAATCTCCTTTCACCACTGTGACATGGTCCGACAGTTTATCATAATTTTCAGTCTCACATGCACTTTGGAAAAGATTAGTTTTCATTGACGTTTTGTAAAATATGCTTGCATTAGATTCTGGGAGAAAATCATTTGTAGTTTCACAAATAGCAGCAGAGAAAGACTTGGTGTCTTTCCCATTTACATTCACTATGAAGTAACTTACTTCATTTACCACTAAGTTTTCATATTTGGATGAAAATTCTTTCTGAACTACAGCCTGAGAATTCAAGGCATTGTGTTTTTTGCTTTCACTGCTTTCTTCTCTTATATTACCAGTGCATAATGTAGAATTTTCTGTAATGTCCTGGGATAAGCAACTTGCCTGACTGTCTGCTCGAGCACCCTCATGGGAGTAATCCTTTGGAACAGGGTTGTGTTTGAATTCATAATGATTCACTGAAGACAAGTCTTCATCCTTTGATTCGTATTCTTCACGATCCATAAATGAAGGCACCTCTGGCACAACCTCTGCCAAGCTATCTGTGCTTGTTTCCATACAGATTATCTCTTTTTCAGACATCTCTACTGGTGTTGCAGATTGGTCGTAACTTGCACTGGCAGGGTGACACTGATATGTTGTCTCCTCTGAGGAAAAATCTGTCTCTGTTGTTACTTCTTCTGCAGATATTTGTTCATAATCCATTTCTTGCATTGTTTCCAAATCACTCTCCCCAGACCTGATTGATTCTTCTGCTTGTCCAGCCAATTTCTGAAACTCATAGCTGCTTACTAGAGAGCAGTTCTTATTTGTTACACCAGTGAGAAAGAAACCTTCATCACAACATCTTGGTATTTTTTGTATTGGAAAAAGCTGCCCATGGTTTCCAAATTGGATGTGTTTTACTGCAGATGTCTGTGTTGAGGTCATATTATGAGCAAGTCCCATAGAAGATTCAGCAGCAGGTGCATTGAGAGATGCACTTCCTCTGCCTGAATCTGTCACACTTGATATTGCCATCAAGTTATTATAGTCATTGTTGAGCTCATCTTTTGAAAAAGTTCTGAAGAAATCATCTTCTAAATCTGCATGTGAACAGCCATTCCTCCGCTCCACACTTTGCACAGGCAACACGGAGACAAAAGGTGTTTTTTTCAGAGTGTCATCTTTTGGCAGCTCTGGATGAGTTGTGGGGAGGGAATCCTCCTCTTTCCTAGGTACCAGTGACAAGCAGTCTGCAGTGGAGCTGCTTTCCAAACAGCTGAATGTTTGTGTGCATTCACTGGTAGACCCGTAAGTAGATAATTCATCCGATTGTTCTTGTTCAGGATGATGTGACCTTGAATGTTTATAATAATCATGTTTTGTGGAAGTAGGAACAAAAGAAGAACTTGGTCCTACTGAGCTAACAAATGAGGACATTACATTTTGAGATTCCAAGGATGAATTTTCATTAGAGTTTGTCCATTCCTTAAGAATCTTATTTAATGATCCACTCTCAGAAACTCTGCTTGCAGTTATTGTTTCAGGTAAAGGTAATTCTGATGTGTCAGAGGAGAAAACTGAGTTTATTTCGTTTACACCGTGTGATAAGTGAGTAATGCTGTGAATCTGCTTAGAGCCAGAAACAAAAGAAACTTCAGCTGCTGACTGCTTTAGATCATCTTTCTTCAGCCAAAGGTCTGGTTTGCTCAAAGAACACAGATGAGCTTCCTGAAATTCCAAATTCTCATGGGAAGAAGGTGCTGTTATTCTGGGGCTGCTGATGTCAACCTTTGAGTCACAGGAAGGCCAAACATCATTAGTGAGCAAAGGATTTTCACTTGCATAATGCAGTCTTTTATCAAGACACCTTTCTTGTTCTACAAAAGAGACTTTTGTCCCTTTCAGCAACTGCTTGCAAGCATTACTGGAAGCAGGCTGTGCCTTAGTGTCCAAATAAAAGGAACTGCTCAGCTTCAGATCATAACTTGTTCCTTCTGTATCTCTGTTGCAGGTATTGGACTCATGGTCTTCTTTAGTCTCTATAGTTGGCAATCTAGGAGTTTGTAACTTCCAGAAAATCTCTGTTGGCACTTCATCAGATGAATCAGATTTGGATTCTTCTACCAGATCTTCTGCTGGCATCTCTTCTCCATCAGCTAAACTATCCAGAGAAAAGCTTCTTTCAGCCTTTTCCAGGTTCCTACGAGATGCGTATGATGTCACAAAAGATGAAATATGGTGCTCAGTTCTGCTTTTGTTAAGCTTAGCTGGCTCATGATGGATCTTTAACTTGTGAAATTGGCTTGTATTTTTCTTTTTGGTTTTATTTTCTTTTTCTACCAGAGAGTCTTGTGACATTTGACTGTCATCACTCTCAGAATCTTCTGTGTTGGCAGGACATTTATTTCTGTCAAAATCTTCTTGTTTCAGTTTCTCCGGGAAAGTTTTTGCATAAGCACAGGAGAGAGAATCTACAGAATAGGAACTGTCTGTATCAGAAATCTCATTTTCATCATCCTCTTGCCAGTTCCCCAGCACATCTGTGGCTGTTTTGGACACTCCAGCACTTAGCATCTCAGCGCTGTGCCACTTTTTTTCAATGTAAGAGAGTGGTGCCTGTGAGTTCATCTTAGTGAGATTCCCTACTGATGTGGCTGCCACCAGAAATTCTTTCTGTTCCACTGGTGATTTCTCATGACTTGGCGAGGCTGAGTTTGGCTCTGTCCTCTGGTTCATGATGGTTTGGTTTTTATGCACTGATGGGTTTCCATACACTATTTTCTTCATTTGTTTAGGGAAGTTTTCTGGAGAAGACCTGTAGCCTTTTCCATTGATATCCATTCTAATCTTTTTATTGGATACCTGAGCTCTATTTTGTGCTAGATTGCTACTTGGAGGCTGACTTAAATCTCCTAGCACCTTTGATTTTGTCATTCTTTTCCCTGTAATAAAGGTTTTAGGTTCATCTTTCTCCTTAAAAAGATCAGGAGAGGAGTCTTTAGAGGTCTGGTTTTGAGATCCAGCTTGCCCTGGGTTGTGATCCAACTTTTCAATTTTTTGATTTTTATTGATATGAGCCATGATAGCTGAATCATTAGAGTCCTTTTCTGCTACTTTTTTATGTCCAATTAAAGATGGTTTTTGTTTTTCAGTTAGCTGCCTCTGGACTGAAAAGGAGATCCCCTTGTCATCATTAAGGTCATCATTCTCAGAAACGTCTTCACCACTTCTGTAAAGGTACTCTACAGGTGACAACCTCCCCGTTGTACTGCCTTCACAGTATTGATCAGTGTATGGTGAGGTAGATAACTTTGACACAGACTCCCTCTTCAGCAAACAGCAAATTCTAGCAGGGAATAAAAAAAGAAAAGTAAATTCTGTCAATAACTATACAATCCCCCTGCTATCCTGAAATATGCTCAACATGCAAAGGAACAGCTCGATGCTCTATGGTATTGAGTCTCTTTAGGCTCAAGTAGCTGCAAACATTAATTAAACATAAAGGACGGTCTAAATCACAGAAATCCACTTTGCAGAGTTTAGGTATTAGCTTGAGAAACGTTGGCCAGTGTAAAAGCCCAATCCATAATCACCCCAAAGATACCAATATTCTGAAGGAAGACTTTGATCCTAATTAAGATTAAATGATGCAGAAATTAGTATTTTCCAACAATCTGAACAAGGCATTAACAAGAGTTAAGCCAGTTCTGGAAAGCATTCTCAAAGAGGTAAAAAGTGCAGAAAGGCTTGAGAGAGGAATGTAAAAAACACTGAGAAAGATTGTGTCAAAGACCAAATAGGGAATGCACAGTAGAAACCCAATGGAAAAGGACAAACTGCCCCAGTGGGGTGTACAGTATAGTAGGTTCACTGATATTGCAGGTTTGGGGATTGTTTCAATACATTGAAAGGCATTTGGGATTATAGGTGGCCACTGAAAATACCTTGAATTTACATGACTTTTGAAAGCGCAGAAGAATTGGCAGATGTAAATTTACCTGGGTACCTGGGGCAGGTGTGTGTTACAGAACAAATGCTGCCTGTGCTGCAAGGAACTTGAACCCAGTGACTTCCATCTCTTTTGCAACTGGTGATCTGAAGAGGACCGTACAGCAATATTGTCATTAAGGACTTGGGATTGTTTCACACGCTCTTCACTGAGCCAGCAGCTAGCTTCCAGCTGCTCTAGGTTTTGCTTGGCTTCCAGTAACTTCTGCTTCTTGACTATTCTTTCCAGTTGGAATTTGACCTTTTTCCTCCTTATGTTTCTTTCGGCCTTTTTTAAGGAGTATCTTCGCAAAAGCTCCAGCTGCACCAGTCTCTTCTTGTTCTGTTGTAACAGGGAAAGGCAGATTTGCACCCCAGGGTTACTCTGCACCTCGGCCTCTGCATACAGTGTAGGCTCTGTTTGCACTGCAAACTCCCTCTGCTGCTGCTGCTGAAGGGCAGCCAGACGTTTATTCTCATTTATAAGCCACTGCTGGTCTGTAAACAAAACAATGATTGCAAGAAAGTCAAAATCATAGGAAAAATTTTACTATCTTGTTTCCTTATTTAATCAGCCTCAAGAGATCATTTGAGAACAGAATTTCCATGCACGTTAGAGTGGAAACCTGGCAAAGCATTTAAAGGAAAATGTAGCATTGCTCTACTTAATTGATAACTGAAAGCCTCTCCATTGGGTTAAGGACTTGGGTAGCAGCTGCAGGGTATGAGTGGGTGGGTTTGGCAATACAGATAGGGAGACTGGTGGATAAGACATTGTGAGCAAAAAGTAGAACACATGTCAATTTCTCAAAGATTACACTCAAACATCACCTCAATTTTGTTGTTAAAATACAGTGGAAGCATGAAAAGACCTGAGTTCAATTCTGTGCGTTTTTCAGGCACAGGGTATATATTCACAGTAGTGAAGTATGACTTATTAGCTTTTTTCTGTGAATATGCTACTACCTCTGCTTTATTATTTTGAAGTCACATGTTCAAACTTTGTATGTGTTACTTAGGGAACAAACGCATGTGCACTGGGAGCCGAGTTAACAAGGGAACTAAAAGAGGAAGTTGCACAGAGCTAGAGTTCAGCATTTGCTTCTGCATTAATGCAGCAAATGGAATTTTATTCACACGCTAATAACCTTTGGCTAATAGATTCCTGCATTTTGAATGAATGAAAAAATAAGCACTTGTGCAATCTTAAAATGGGACTGATTTCTCATCACTGGATTTGAATGTTTTACAACTATTCTAAACCAAACATTTCTCTTTGAGATTTTTGCTACTCTCCTTTCCTCCTTAACTTGAATGAACAAAACAACCCCCACCTGCAAACTGTTTTCTCTCACTCACCTAGGCATGCTGAAAATGAGAGAGCCCAGAGTCATGCTAATGGACTTTGTACAGCACAGGAAATGGCAATTTTTTTGCTCATGCTTATTGGTGGCAAGTTCAGTGAGCCTGGCAGCTGGACCTTCCTATGCCCCACTTTGGATGGTCCTCATTTGCAGGGCAGCTGACAGCCACCAGTCCTGCAGATGAGAATGCAGCCTTCCAAGTGAGTTGAAGACAAGGCTATAAGGATGTCATTGTATAGGTATCTGCTGGAGAGTTCTGACAGCCTCTCTAAATGCGTCAGATGAAAACTTCCCAAGCAACACAATCCCCATGTAGCACCTGGCTAAGGTAGAACAACAACCACAAATTTCCTACCTCTTGCAGCTATGGCTGCCCCACCAAGCACTTGCCAAAACAGGCTGATGGGAACCCACATACCTTGTACAGGAGTGCTTTAGTATGTAATCATAGAATTACAGTCATTTAATGGCTGGGCTTGGAAGGGACCTTAAAGATCATCTAGTTCAATGTACATGAAATAAAATAAATACTGTCATGGCAAGGACACAGGTAAAGCAAACACAACTTTTAGCTATCATGACAAACAGAATTCTAAAAACACGAGCTCATACCACCAGTCAGTCCATATTTTTCACTGAATTAGCTTATTTTCAATGTGCAGTCCTTTACTGAATATGCAACTTTTTGTTGCTTATGCAGGGGCGTAGGAGTTCAGAGGTCTGATGTGATGAATGAGGGCTACCTGCAGCTCTGCACAGCTAAGCTGCAAGAGAGGAATGTGGGGCTCTAGAAGTTGGTGACTACTGATCTTGTTAAACATACTTCATTAGTGATCCCTAACACAATAAGTCTCCTGTTCTGTTTATGTTGGCCACTCTACACAGAGCACATGCACAGAAGTAGGAATTCTAGCTCAATGGTTAATCTGTGGAAAAAAGGGAAGCATGTTAGTCATTATGTTAGTTAATTTTTCTTAATAACATTTTTAACTTTCACATACAAAGGTTTTTTTCTCAAGTCTATTTCCAGATGTGTCCTCTTTAGCACGTTTTAGCAAGCAGAATATTTGGCAGATCAGTTTCCCTGCAAAAGATCTGCAAGTTCTAAGATGCTAATTAATCTCTGCTCACAAACTTGCCTCTCTCAGGAGCTGAGCCACAGTAGGCACAGAAAAGGTGAAGAACTTTGGTGGGTTGCCAAGTGAAGAATTGTATTTGCCTGGCTATGCTTTGTGTGAACAGTGGAAACAGAAGAATTAAAGGGAAGCAGAGGACAAGTCTGCAGAGCCACAAAATAGAGGTATTTTGGGGGGACTCTCCTGTTCTCTGTGCATATTCTGCTATATCACATCAAAACAATTTCCTTTCTTCATTGTGGCTGGCATAATTAAAAGATAGCTGACTGCATAAGTTTTGGTCTGAGACACTGCCAAAAATTCACAAAAGTTTTCTTCTTCCAGGAGCAAATAGCAGATTTTGCCAGGTAGGAATGATACCCTTGGCTTATCAGGAAACCTGGATCAAATAATACACTAGAAGACAAACACTATAGGGAACAGTATAACCACTCAATTTCAGTGATTCAAAACATACCAAGGTTTAAAATGTTCCCAAAATCAGTCTATAAACTCACTAAGAAGCAGCCCAACTCCCCCAAAGCATCTTGCTTAATATGTCGGCCTGCGTACAAAGTAGCACCTCTGGGAGCCAGGAGGCACTGACACTAAAAAATACCTCTCAAAACATGCTGTGGCTTCACCTTCTGACATAGCTGTTTGCCATTTAAAATCTAATCACTGTTGTAGCCTTTAGTACTTTTGCACACACTGCAGAACTTCCTAGAAACATCTCCTATCTGAACCAAAGCATCTCTTTTTTTGACCCAGTTTTGGAATAAACATGGCAGAGTTGCACTACAGATGTGAGCAGAGCAAAACTGTAGGGAGGCAGGGTGGGGATCAGGCCAGAAGAGAAGAGGCTCAGTGCCACAGGGGAGTAGCTGGTGCTCTCCCTCCCAGCAGTGACCTGCAGAGCTCATTAAACAGTGCTGCTGGAGCTCTGTGAAGGAGGCCCTTTAGTCCTCGTAATCAGAGCTTAGGAACTGTTCTCAAGGGAAAGGCAACTGTAAGAGAAAACTGGTAATAAGCTGTAATAAAAGTCTCACCATAAAATAAAGCAGGACTAGGACAAAAACACTGAGAGGATGAAAGGATGCAGCAATGGAAAGGCACTGAGTGGGGGGAAGAGGCAGGTACCCACTTTCTTGGATTTGCTGGTTGATTAGTGCTTGGTCATTATCCAGTTCTCGCTCTGCTTTGATCTGTCCTCTCAGGATCTGTTGCTTTAAATCCTCAACATAGAGCTGCTGTCGTTGAATCTGTGTTCTGTGGAAAGCTTCCTGGTCTCTCAGTTTCTGCTTGTACTCTTCACGCACGGCATTTATTTCTCTGCTGTTATAAATGTTGACAGTGAATTAAAACCAGAAACAAGTAGTATTTGTAGTAAAACAAGTTATCTTACTAAAGAAAAACAGACAACGTTCAAGATATTGTTTTGTTTAATAAGGGTGTATTATGACAAAACTCACTATGGTAAAATAGCTGTATCTGTGCATGTCACAGCAATCCTGTAAGTGTCATAAATACCAGCAAACATGAAAGCTCTAATGGTGACACAGCCAGAAAGCTGCCAGAAAGATCATAGCAAAAAGAATTTTAAAAATATTGTCGCTTTTCATTTTGCTGTAAGTCTTACAAAAATTAAATTGGGGAAGGGTGTTTATAAGTTACAAAGTTTTATAACCACTATATAACATATTTGTCATCTAAGTACTTCAAAACACTTTACAGAAATGACAAACATTCTCCCCTGTTTTCAGACCAAGAAAGCTCCAACCTAGAAATATTTACAGGCATTGCTGAGATTACACTGACAGTGTCTGGCAGCACCAAAGGAAGACCTTGATCACCAAATTCTCTGTTGGATGCAACAACTATATTGTGTTAACGCTCCTATATTTGGAGCAGAATTGTGATCAGAAAAACAACTAACCTGTGAAAAATTGCTTTACAATCTCCTCCAAGGTGTTTGGCTCCTGACTGTGTGCCAAAATTTTATACACACACACAGAGTAACAATCAAGGTAGTATCTATTCTTAGCATAATCCATAATAATATTCAAAATAACCCTCTGAAAGGAATATATACTTTACCTCTACACATACTATCATCAAGAAATTCCCATCATTACAGTTTGATTATATATAAAGGTGATGTATGATCTTTGCCTGTTGTTTTGTTTCTAAACATCACATTATTATATATAACCTTAGAATATTAAACCTTTGACTCTTGAAAAAATGTTCTGAATATATTTTACTAAGTAAACAATGTATTTATTATACTTCTAAAGGGAGCAAAGGTACCAAAACTAAAGAGTCCCTGAAGGTCAAAAAAACCCAAAATAAAATTTCAAAGGGAACCTTTGGAAACATTGTGTAGTTTGCAAAATCATTACCAATACAAGGTCACCTGTATGAAAAGAGTATTTGACCTTTGCTACATAGAAATAATTTAACTCTCTATTTAGTACTGTGAGCACGTGTTCAAAGCAACCATTTCTACAGCAAAAACTTGATTCTGTGTGCTAACTTAGTAGACAAAACAGATGCAATTAAGCAGCCAAAGTCTACAAATCTCCCGGAGTACCTTTACATGGAACATACATTTCACTTTCTTAAGAAGCAGGGGGAAAGCCTCAGTACAAAAAAACCCTGAAGATTCTCAATAATTTACAATATTACTGTGACTCTTACTCACACAAGAAAAACAGAATTCAGTTTTGTTGCAATGTTTATGTAAATGTAATGCTGGTGAGAGTAACTGAAAGAGAACATCATCTGTTCAGTTGTCTGGCATGGTGCAGAGTACAGACTTTGCTACTGCGATCTGCTAAATAGTTTGTGCCTATTTGTGACTCACATGGACAAATTATAAGAATAGGCAGCTCCAAGATCTCTTTGTCCTTGGCTTGACTACAAAGATGCCAGCACCCTGTGATTTGTAATTTTTTTCCTCTTAGATAAACTTTAATTGATCTCCAGGAAATAGAAATGGGATGCCTCATTTCTCATTCAGCTGAAGGAGCTTTGAACTGACACTTCACTGCAGCACTGAAATGCTCGTATGGCGATTACAATGCTCCAGCTGTGTAATGCCCTAACCAGAGGTTAAAGCTAGACTGCTTAGCTGAAGAAGAACCTCTTTTTAAACACAGTATTAAATTTGAAAGTTCTTGTTTGGGAAAAGCTCCCATGATTTCAATGGTATCTCTGAGGGAGGCTTTCCCTGAATGCAGCTTTGAGGTAATTTTCCATATGTTCCAAGGGAAATGTAATGGAGCAGCCATACACTCTGGATGTTAAAGTACTGAGCTGAAACAAAAGATTTTTGATTTTGGAGCAGTTAAATCACCTCTGTGCTTTCACCTACTTGGACCACAAGGTCTTCAGGGCGAGGACTGCCTCTGGATGCCCATGCGCTACACCTAACAGAGTCTCTGTGCATACTCTGACTATGGGATTGTCTTTAACCTGTTCTACTAACAGACATAACTGACCAACAGACTCTGATTCCTAGGATGGTATGAAAGTTGAAAAATACGAGTCTAAGTCTGTTACTGGTCTCACATGACCTTGGGCAAGTCACTTTGTGAAGTGATGAGGATCCATTAGCATTATAGAACATCAGAAAGTCAAGTATCAGAAGAGCTGATTTCTATTAATTTATCATTATTAGGACCATTCTGTATGAGATTGAGGAAACGAGTAAATCATTGCCAGCAGGGTGAAAAGTGAAGCATGACAGTAAAACAGTAGAGAAAGAATTCTTGTCCTGCAACTGTTTACTAAAACTAGATAAAGTAAAATTCCTCTTATAAAATATCTCTCATTCTTCCTAACCACTTTTAGCTGTCAGCCAATCTTTCCATACAATTGACTTATCAGAGTTCAAACCATTTACAAACTGAAACCCAAACCATTCAAGTATATGAAACAACTTAATGTTGCATTTAAATCCTAAGACCTAACAATGCTTGCAGAGGTTGTTAGGTAACATTTGTTTACAGCTGGGAGATGGTCACAAGCTTTTCCCATACTTTTCAACAATGCTGAAACCACACTCCACCCCCCCCATTATAAAGTATCAGAGATAAGCAATGCAGACAATGCACGTGGAAGCGTGCTGTTTGCTGTTCTCGGCAGCACCAGCATATTCCCTCATGTGTGTGGAAATGGCTTTTTGCTGAACTAATATGAAATTGTAAGATCCTTTCCAACAGGCATGTGTGTTTGCACAGAGAGCAGAACACGATGCAGGCCAAACTGATGTTCCTAATCATAGTTCCATACTATGACTACACCCCAGAAAGGCAGAGTACAGAGGCATATCCATACTTCACTTTAAACCTTGGAAAAACAAACACGGCGCAGCAACCACTGCAGTACTATTTCTGCTTTTGTTCAGGTGATGTAGCTAGTTGGTACAATTGTCTCTCTGTTAGATAAAATACTGTTGCTGAATGTATATATACAAATTGCAGTTTTTGGTGTTCTTTCAGTTTCTCTTTGCTTCATCTCCTAATTTTCAATAGTATAAAAAAAAAAACCCAGGCAGGGCAGTAAAGACAGGTGTGAATATACAGATTGCACATTAAACACTTTTTTGGAAGCTGCTTCTTGAAGATAGTTTTCTCAAATGGAACAAAAAGAAAACAAAAATTCATGCAGAGCCACTTACATAATACATTTTTGCCAGAAGATGCTTTCCTTCTGGCTGTGAGACTACTGACTGTGAGAGCAAAATGACTGTGTGGTTTGGGATACAGATCTATCTCTCTCAGAAACTGCTGAAACCAAGAGCATGAAGTCAGAATGCTCCTTTTCTACCTTTGAACATGCTATGTCATGTCAACACACTCTTGCTGGTTTTGGAAATAACATGATAGACTAAACTGAAAAATGAGATGACAATGGCCCAGAAAGAAAATAACAGATTCACACACACTTCATAACTAAATCACCTAATACACAATTCAAAGAACAATCAGTTTTTACAGTATGTGTTTGAATGATTAAAGAACTAAAACCAAATATCAATACAGTAACATAAGAATTTAGCCCAATTTTGTAATAGGTAGATAAGACTACTTGTTTCTTTAATCTTAAATAAGATGTACTGTTAAATTTAGACTTGAACTACTGAAATAATATGAGCTACAGGAATCAAGCACAGATTGCTATTTCTCATATTCCTGCTTTTCCTCATAAGCAATCTACACTCAATATAATCCGAGCAGGAATTAATATAACCTCAGGACAAACACAAGAGAAACAGCTTCATTTCTGTGGGTATCAAGATATACATAAAATCTTGGTTTCACAGGACTAGCATACTCTGGCATACAGCATATAAAAAAAAGCCCTGCAGAGAATATCATAAAAGCATGCAGATTTCTAGGTGTATCGAATGCAGCAAGAAGTGTCAACAGTTACCCCTCCTCCAAGTAAACCTTGGAAAACAGCAAGTAAAATTACAACAAAAAGACACCAACCTTAAACTAAAGATAATCACAAATCACGGAGAAAATTTTCATATTATACCAATTCCGCCGAGGTTTTTCCATCTCATTTTTCTCTCCACAAAGTTTGCACGTTGCGTGCTAAATGAACCATCTGTAAATCCACTTTTTTTTTTTTTTTTTTTCCAGCCGGTTTTGTTGTCAGCTCTCTGGGATCCTATTGTGCAATTCTCCTCCCCTCTTCCCCAAACACTTCTACTGCTGATGCAGAGGCTGGCGGCTGCTACAGCATAATGCAGTTTCCAGTAACTATGGCAGCAATAGCTCTGTGGTGGAGGCTGAATACCTGCTGCAACAAAATCTTAAGGCTCAAATACAGAAACTCCAGTGAAAATACTCACTGTCGGTAAAAGCTGAAATGTGCCAGTTTTTCAAAAGAAAACATCAGTCAAGTTAGCATCCCCATCTTTCTGGCTGCCTAGCGTTCGAATCCCATTTTTTTCCTTTTATGAAAGCTTTTTTCCAGGAGAAGAAGAGTCAAAAATAAAGGAGAAAAAAAGATGCTGGCAAGGCATTTTGCACCCTTGCAAATGCCACACTGAGAGCAATCACAAGTCAGAGTTAAAAGCCTATCCACTAATACACATCCACACAACTCCCCCCACCTCTCCTGCTCTATCCTCCCCCTACACCCGTGTCCAATCCGGGGCACTTCCCACAGGGCCTCAGAGCATCATGCAGCAGCAGGCACCACGCAGCTGCACAGGATCATACATCTGCTTCTGCCTAGCACAGAGGCCCAAACCTCTCCCTTCTCCTCCCTAAAGCAAACGGAAGAGGAATAAAGAGGATATGAATATCTTGTATTCTGCAGGAATGACACCCACAGAATTCAAAGCAAAAGCTGGATGTTGGTGGGCAGGAGGTGGAAGTCAGAAATCAGTCAGAATGGCCAGCAGAGTCAGAGACCTTCAGAAATAAGGGATCTTTGGAAATGTACATGCAGATTAATTCCCTCCACAGAAGTTACCATCACGTGAAGTATCATTTGGATTTCTGCTTAGCTGGCTTGCTTACATAAAAAGCACATCTGTGCTTTTTTTATGTGTGTTTTTTAGCCTTTCCATGCAAAACCTCTTTTTCTTTGCCTAAGCCCCCAAAACAGCAGTAAGCTAATGACTTATTAAAGGCATCCCTTTAAATCTCTAAAATGAACCTTTCTGGCAAAGAGTCAGAGGTACAAGACACAGCCACACACTCTAGTAAAGGCTACTCCTTTCTTGCTCAATTCCAGTTCAGCTAACAGAGGTTTTCCCTTCCCAATTTCAGTTATATATAGAATTAGTTCCCATGCTAACCCACTGTAAGTGATTTTGCTGTAAGTTGCAGAGTTTCTGTAATTGACACAGTGGACTTTCTCTGTGAAATGGGATATTTGAGGGATCTTTTAAGAGACGCAAAATATTTCTAAATTTTTTTTATGTCTTTATTTGTAGAGCACTTTGAAATTCTCAGATGAAAGCAGTTAGTGAGAACTCACAGTAAAACTATTTTTAAAAATATTAGTTGGACATGTTTAACTATACCACATAAGAATAATAACTGTGTTGTGTTATGCTGTATCAGATTTTTTTTTTCTCCCCAGTTTAACAATGTTGGTATTTTTAAGGAAAGGGAGTTCAAATATGTTCCAAACAGATAAAATTAGGACAGTGTGCTGCCATACCACTTGACACTAATGGAGCAACTCCACTGTTGGGTTTTTTTGGTGTTTTTTTCCAAACCAGCAAGACAATAAAATCAGAGTTTATATTTATAGGCCACATAGCGTTAAGGCAATGACAGGAACAAGACTTTATTATTGACTTATTTGTGGTGACACTATAATTTGAGGGACCGATGCCATTCAGAAGCCTTCTGTGTGTTTGCTGCCTGACAGCAAACATCAGAAATTTGAAGTGCTGGGGCTTTTCTGAGCAGGGCATATGAGGAAGCAAGCAAGAGTAAAATCATTCACACCCCTTTTCAAAGAAATTTTCATACTTAAAGTTTTAAGATTTGTGTGCAATGGTAGAAATTTTTTCTCTCTCATTTCTCAGAATATTCTAACATACAATTAAAGGTTGAAGTGGTAATTCAACTCATAAAAAGCAGGTGAGAAAAATATTGTCATACTGGCAGCATGGGAAGTAAGACTCATATCATTTAAGTAATCATTACTGTAATATATATGTTGATATGTTCTGAAATAAAAATCCAGAATTAAGCAAAGTACTATCAGTTCTTGGTGAAAAAGAACACTTAAACCCATGGAAACCAAACAATTTCTGAATTATTTCTATGTGCAGCTGCTGTGCTTCTTCGCAAGAATGAACCATATTCTACACTCAGAATTATTTTTTTTTTACTCTTCCCTTAAGCCATTTTATTCTCAGCAGAACCCAATTTGTCCAAGGAATTTTCAATATAGTAATGAGTATTCACAGTACCTGCTATTGACATAAAATTTAGTATATTTAGGGATCTAATATGCTGCAAATTAGCAGCAGGTTGAGAGTAAACCCCACTTTAGTCATGCTTTTAAATGCAGATTACACATGCAACAAAGATACAAACCATTTGCACAAAATCTAGAATTAAGAAAGGGCATGGTTGCAGAGACTTGCCTATAATGCAGCTGCACATACATTCTTGTTTCAATATAATAAAATAATATGAATTAAAGTTTGAAGTTTAGTTTGTTGCAATATGATAAAATTTTTTGAAAATTAGTTTGTAGTCTAGTTTCCAGCTCTTCTGGACGAAATCAGTATAGCACAGAGATTGATAAAACTAAAAGGGTCAAAAATTTCAGCATGATTTAGACACATTAATATTCTTACCTTAGTTCAGGAGAACATTTGTTTTCTTTACAGTTTCTACATTTTTGACTGTAAAAATAAAAACAAGAAACCATAAATATTTTTTAGAAGTCAAAAAAACTTCACTGAAGCCTACTATACACAAAGATGTTATTGTTATTTTCAGCAGAGGAAGGCTCCAAGATGCAGGTTGCTAGCAGCTGGGAGAACACCAAGAACTATTAAATGAGAGGGGAGACAGAGAAAAAGAGAAACACACACACACACAGAGCTTTCCCTGTTCTCACATTTTCCTTTGAGCATCTCTTTCTGACAGAAACAGGACCCTGCATTAGGGTGAACTTTTCACTGGTAAGCAAATAAGCACTCTCGTGGTCCACTTAATCCTGTGTTACAGCAAAATACCTCAGACAAACCTGTGACTGGTTTTGGCTGAGGCAGAGTCTCTTCACAGGGGCTAGTATGGGGCTGTGTTTTGGAATTGTGCTGAATGAGATGATGTTGTTGTTGTTGTTGCTGAGCAGTGCTCACACAGGGCCAAGGCCTTTTCTGCTTTTTGTACTGCCACTCGGGCAAGGGAGTTGGGGATGCATGGGAGGCTGGGAGGAGACACAACTGGGATAGGTGACCTAAACTGACCAAAGGAATACTCTATACCATATAACATCATACTCAGTATATAAAGTTGGGGGCAGAAGGAAGGAGGGGAAGATGTTTGGAGTGACAGTGACTTGTCTTCCCAAGTAACCATTACACGTTGTAGGGCCTGCTCTCCTGGAGATGGTTGAACACCTGCCTGCCCATAGGAAGCAGTGAATTAATTCCTTTTTTGCTTTGCTTACATATGTGGCTTTTGCTTTCCCTATTAAACCATCTTTATCTCAACCCATGAGTTTCTCTTCCCCTTCCAATGCTCTCTCCAATCCCACTGGTGGGGTGCCTGAGTGACAAGTAGCTGTGTGGGGTTTGGCTGCTCTCTGGGCTTAAACCATGACAACACCTTTAAGTACTTGACATTGACTTTTCTTCATGAAAGTGGGACATTTGAGAGGTCATATATATGGTTTTATTCTTATAATATAGATCTTGGGCTAAATGTCTCAATCACAACGCCCTCCTTGGGAAAATCTACTTGTCTGTACAGAAACACAGACTCAGTGGTTACTGTAAAGGAAGTCTCAGCAGATCAATTCAGTTTACCTATGCCAAATAACTATTCCAAGAGGAAAAAAACCAAACCACTGGATTATTTAAGGTGAGAAACAAGTATGATTAGATATAGTTGATAGCTTATTCCTATAAGAGATGGACATTCATAAAAATCAAGCAAATGCAATTCCATAATGTTTTTTATTTTCACTGAAGTAACCATTTTAAACACTCTATTTAAACATGAGAGTAATGTTAAACAATTTAATATGCTTGTAATAGCTTGTCCAAGTGATTAAAAAATTGATCAACACAAACAAATCTGCTATCTCAACATGGTCTAGAAAAAAATCAATCAGAAATGTTCCGCAGTTTTGTCAGGTCAAAAAGGGGGAAACCAAGTGCAAATTTGTGATAAACTGTTCACAACGCTTCTGGATTTCTGCAGGTTTTTCTAGGATCATCAAAAAACTTCTGTGACAAAAGCTCCACATCTGATGTTTTATACCCATGTAAAGAGCACCTTGGTATCTACTTTTGAAGGTCATTAGACAAACCCTTATTTTTAAAATTCTTCGTAATTTTTTCCAAAGAAAATAGTAGAAATAATGTGTAAAATGTTCATCAGTAAAGAAGCAAAATGAAATAACATTTTTTATAGACAGGTATCACTGCAGCAAATTAAAAGCAAATGCAGAGATTAGATACATTAAGGAAACACATAAAAACACACTATCCAAGGTAGAAAGAAGCCATTTGACTAGAACTAAGAAGAGATGTTCTAAATAGAGATAACATTTTATGCTCATAAAAATGAGATGAGATACTTCCTCTAGAAAAAGATAAAGGACTCTCAGTATGTTACCACACCAAAACCACTCTAGCAAGAAGCAGTACTATCAACAGATATGAATGAGAAGATGGCTGTTTCTTGCCTTTAACAGGTCAATTGAATGTGCCAGGCTGAGAAGAATTAAAAAAGAGAAAGAATCCAATTACATTTAATTCTGCAATATTCTAATTTCAATGCTACGAACTAAACCGGAAGATATTTCAATTAATTTTTGATACATATTAATTACTGTCTTCATCACACCAATCCTTTCCATTTCACAAAGGTTCTGCCATAAAAGCATACACCAAATATTGAGTATGAGCAGCCCTTCAACATTTTAAAAACAATATATGCCTTATGTACTCTTCAGTTTAAAAAAAAAAGAGGGAATGACATTGGCTTTCTGAGATAAAGGGCTCAATGAGGACTTGAACTAAAGGGAATTTATGAACAAACAAACCTGATTTCCACAACAAATTAGCAGGGAAAGTGAATTGGTAATAATTAACTTGGCTAAATCATATCCTGAAAAGTCCATTCCGTGCACTGAAGTAAGAATATTGTAAAAATTATAGATTAGCTGTAAATCAAAACAGCTATAATTCAAGGGAACTGAATTAAGGTTGTCTGACAGTCACCTGAGGGATTTTCTTAATTGTGCATCAATAAATTGTTTTCAGGTTTGTTGCTTGGGTATTTTAATGCTCTATTTTAGTTAGTTGGCCAGTGGATTTCCTTGGACATTTTTGTTTGATAACTTAACAACGTGATGGGACTTATTCTATATATAGTTTTCTTTTTGCCTAGCCAAATCCCTGGTTTCAGACATAATCCTGCAAGAGCAGTTGTTTCTTCGGTTGTTTTTTCTTAGTTTTAAACTTACTTGTAAAGAGAAGAAAGGACATAATGTGGAGAATTGGTGCAACTTCCATCTAAGTCGAGCCAGTCCAAAGCTCCACAACTCAGAGTGGGTGGGGTTTCATTAATCTACAAAACACATGAGACAGGAAGACAAATAAATCACAGCAACCCAGGAACTTTCAAGTTATCGTTATTACGGCTGTTGTTAACTACTGTATGCAATGCTGCATAATAGCTCCCACATGATTTTATAATCTCACACTTCTGCTTAGTCTTTGATAATTAGCAAAATTGCTAAGTATTTGTTACTAATTATATCTCTTTTTGCAGTTCTATTTTAATGTACTGCATGTTTCACTAATCAAGAAATTAAGAAGGAAAACAAAAAAAAAGCTAAGCCCCTTATCTCAGCTACAGAAGTGAGTACAAAAGGACAGTTAAGTGGAAAGTATAAAATGTTACTACATGAAAGTCCATTCTAAAAGGTGGATTCTTGACAATATCAGTTGATAATATGGTTAACTCTTAAACCAGAAAACTTATATTCTTTAAATTAGGTTTTGTAGTTACATCTGCCAGTAATTTTAAGAATTATCTCATTTTTAAAATATTATTAAACTAGTTAACCAAATAATATCTTACAGTAGTTAGTTCCTGAGCTTAACATACCAAGAAATATTTTATCTATTTCTGATGTATGTAAAAGTTAAGTGCGTCCAGAGTCAGTAATACCTAAATACATAATCCCATAAATTGTCATTTCTTCTAGTGTATCTCATTCAAGACAGTGAAGTGACAGAGAAAGAAGATAACTCAGAAAATTATCAGATGTGGAAAGATTGTTAACTGGTCTTTTCACTGCAGCATTCTGCCTTTTTGTTTCAATCCTACTGTAGTCATGACCAGAAATAGGAAACACTAAATAATTCAAGGGATCTGCATCATCTCTTGATAAGCACATCTGAAAGAAGTGCTACTGTCCTCCCACAAAAGGTTTAGTGTCATTACAGACCATTAGATGGAGGAAATGAAGCAAGTGAAAATGATGACAAGAAGAAATATTATCTTCATCAGGTTGGCTTTTGAGAAGAAAAAAACCCAGAAAAATAAATGAAAAATTAGGAGAAAAAAATACAGTTGTTAAACTTACTGATCTTCTTTGTCTTAAGAGAGCAGCTTCTGCTGGGTGATTGAATCTGAACTTGTGAGACTTGCCAAGGACAACAAGGGCCCCTGTGAAAAAAAAAATTAGACACTTAGACAGTTCATCAAACTAGTACAGAATAATATGTTAAAAAAATGAATTCTGACCAACAGCTTTCTGACCATCACAGAACAGAGAATCATTTTAAAATTTGCCACTACAGAATGGCAGAATTAACATTATGTAATGACAGCATCCAAGCAAATTAATCTTGGATATCTCTGCAAACCAAACATAGCCATAAATTCCCTGTTCATATTAAAGGCCAGCATGACTTCATACCAAAAACTTAACCAACCCACTGCTGAAGACTTGTTTTTACACTATCTTTTTAAGTATCTAGATCACTACAAGTTCACAGATGCTGAATTGTTATTTTAAACAACCTAAAAATATGGCAGCCTGATCCATTTAATCTGAATTCATTCATCACTGCCTATGACTTAGTGGCTTGTAGCCTCCACCTAAATACACTGTGAAAAAGCTGGAGATCGTTTCAACGTGTTATATAATTGCCAAAAACCCCTTCAATGGTCAGCTGGCTTAGAGCCAGTCCCCACTACTTTACACAATAGTGCCTCTGAATACAAGTCTGCCCTTTTCAGAAGGCTACAGACTACTATTGCCAAAAGGAGTCAGAATATTGTCACCAATGTCTTAATTTTATTTCTGTGGGCAGTTAATTTATTTGTTCCAATCTGGAAGCTCTAACCATGGATCAAACCTTGTGGAACTGGGCAGCAGAAGGAGACCGAGATAACTTTCTTAGATCTGCTCAAATTCCATAAATCCTTGTCTGTGAACTCGTGTGGTAAGTTAATTATAACACAGCATTCACAGGAAAAACCCAAACGTTACCTTGTGAGAGGCGACATGATCCAGTGACTTCACATCCATTCACAGAGCAGTGTGCGCCTGGAACTGGTCGCAGGGTCACGATCCCACAGTTGTTGTCTATCATACAGTGATTCCTTTCAATCCACTGTCCCTGCAAAACTACAGTGTATAGATTTATCTCACCTGTTGAAGGGGTTGTGTTATTTTCCTTGGAATAGCCTACCACACACTTCATCACTATGCACACCTCACAGAGAACTACATCATGTGCAGAACAAGGAGATTAAATTGCCATCTTTGACTGCTGGTCAAGTACTTGGTCACAGAAAAAACTTATTGTTGAAACTCATTATTGAAAATAGTGAGATTGTTTCTTTATCTCTGGTCCTGGAAAACTATATATCACTTTCTGATTTGTGAGCTGATGTGCAAATTCTTCTATTGTGCTGAATTTTCTTACCACCATTATAGAATTTATTGTTTATATTTTACTAATCTTCTGGAAGAAAATAATCAAACTTAACCATGCTTAGCAGAACCTAACCAAAGCTGAGATTTTACAAGGTTTCCAGTTTCAGTTCTCTATCATATTATCTAGCTCCTGAGATTGACTGCTAAAATTAAAAGCAGAAATTAAATTAAATAAAAGATATTCTGGATAATTTGGATTTTATACCTAAAGCACTCCATCCAAGTAGAGTTGAAAAGCATTTGCAATGTCTCATGATCACTTGTGCCTCTAGTTTAGGATAGAATATATGAAGGTTTGGATATTAAATGAAGTGTAGCATTTCACAAGTGGGAAGAAAATTTTTTAAGAGATCTCAATCAGGTCAAGACCACTGACTTTTCAGACTCTTAAACAAAAAATAATCAACATATTTTAGCCAACTTAAATAATTAGTTTCTTCTATTTACCTTCTTCTACAAAGAAAGCTGGCAAACATTACCTAGCTATTACACATGACAAATGTAAACCTCTTGGTTTGACCTGACCCTACCATAAAATAATTTATAATATCATTCTCTTACCAATGTCTTGATCTTGGTCTGAATCACTTCTTCCAATTTTGGTTGTTCCTTCCTAAAACAAGAAAAGAACTAATTTAAAAGTTGGTTGAGGAAAGTGGATTATATATACTAATTAAAAAAGCTTTGGTACCTCATCTTAGCAAACCCCTGAAATAAATTGCCTCTCCGTGACTGCACTGTTTGAAGCAAATGCTATGTACTTTGTAATACTTCAGCCTGCTATCCCCCCCAGTGTTGTAATCACTTCTCATCCTGCAGCTATGTCGGCTTCTGTGAGTCCAGGAGATGAAGTAACCCCTAATGGATGACTTTGGGACTGTGCTTTAGACAAATATTTTAAACATGAACACACATGCTGATGCTTTGAACTTTCGTAGTGAGACATACTGTTTGCAGAAAAGAATGCTGCTGCTTTTTTTGAGAACACAAGTAGAATCGTTCTTGAAGAGAAAAGACAACACAGAAAGAACTGTGTGTTGCTGATACCGCCTAAGAAGTCTTTCTGCCTTTTGCAACCGGACTTGCCTATCTCACATTGGCCTTTTTAGCCACCAGCGTGCTTGCAACAAGCGTGGGTAGAGCCCTTCTCAAATCTTCGTTCGCGAAGCCTAGCCTTGATGGACTCAACTGCAAAATGTCCATCTGGGTTGGCCCCAACTTCCAGAAAATTTATGATACGTATGGTCTTTGACTCACCTCACTCAATCAAGTGAGTTAGCAACACGTATTTTACACACAGAGAAGTAAACCAACTCCTAAAAGATCTCTTTATCAATTATCTTCTTCACTCAGCAAGGAAATCGTTATTGTAATTCCAAAAGAAACTTTTTCCACTGTGCTGAAATAACTCTCTGGTAATACAATTTAATTCAAAAAGGTGTATTACAGCAGTATTGGCTCATGAAATTCACAAGAGTATCACAGTTGGTTGGAGTGATTCTGGGTGAGTTTAAAACTAACCATAAATTGCAGGTGAGAGCAAGAGTACAGATATAATACAAGCAAACTAACCCAACTTGAGAAAACAAACAAAAAAAAATAGCCATAAACCTGACCGATTTGATTTCATTGTTTAAAATGCTATTACTGAGCTAATAATTTCAATATTTAGACTCTTTTCTGATTGAATATTGAGTATTCTACCTGAAAAAGTGAAAGACGTTTCAGATGAAATGACTGCACAAGGTGACCCTAACATGTCATCATACATCTTTACATTTGTTGAAGTGCTTTATATTGTTACCTCTTCTGGTTGTACCTCATGACTAAAGGTGGAATTCCCAAGGTATATTGCAGAATCATAAAGACTGAGATTGCTTTCCCCCTTCACTTTTGGGAGTACTACAACTTTCAAAAAAGTTTATGAAGTACATCTTTTACTAAAACAGTGTAAAGAAATCCCATATTTTTAAGCTTTGCAAAAAAGGTCAGTTAATTTATAGGAAAACATATATCTTCTATTAATGAAAGCCAGAAAATTAAGCATAGGCACAGCATTGATTAGTGCAATTAATATTATGGAATATCAAGAGACTAAAAGAGTAACACAATATTTATTCTACATGATCTGAAAGCTGCTGCCATGACCTCTCTCTAAAACTAAAATGTAAAGTGCTATTATATGTTTAAGCCTTATTATGTAAGGAACTGCTAACATTTTACCTTCTTGCTGTTCAGATGAAGGTAACAGACACCAGAGACTAAAAGGTGTAAAGCACAAAGAAAAGAAAAGGCAGCATCTAGGAGCAAAGAAAGAAGTGACAAAGATGTTAGTGTGGCAGAGACACGAATGACTTCAGAAGGCGATCCTTCAAACCAGGTTACTCCGTTAAAATGAATATATTTAAGTTACTTTAGTTGTTGTAAACATTAGTATGGGAAAATATTTGCTGTTTCCAAAATGGCACGTAACATTAAAATATTTAAGTATTAGCAATTGCTTCTAATAAATATTTAATGTTAATGTAGGGTTGAGTAGTTAAATTTGCATGTTGTTCAGAGCTGGACATCATTACTTGGTCTCTAATTATTACCTGCTACAATTTCTTTGTGTTGGCATAAGAAAAATTAGTCAAGTTTCTCTTTCAACATGGTAAAAGAACAGTATGATTTCTATTTTAAATATTTGCTGTAATTTTTAAGAGGAATTAAAGAAATCGTCTGTGCTAAACTATATCTATTACCACAAAACCTAGCTTTGGGTAAAGATTTTTTATTAGTAGACAGATACATGATTTTCAAACATATTTAACACATGTTTTGGCAATGAGTGCTCTCTGTAGAGCTGTCTGTCCACCATTCCTTTCACATTAAACAGCATGAATAATTCAGTAATTTCCATTCATTTAAACAACATCAACAAGTTAAACTCCAGTTTAGTACCGAGTTACTAAAATAAAAAAAAATCCCCTAAAACTATTTGACCTGAATGCCACAATGTGCAGTAAAATACATACAATGTTCTGAAAGTTTCTTGGGGAAAATCTTGTCTTAAATGAGCAGCCACAAAACAAAATAGTATTATGAGGCCGGGATTTCTACCTGATCTTCAAAAAGAGCTACTCAAGTGGGATCACAAGGAATTAGCTTTCATGCTACACACTTGGAATCTACTTGGCAGACCTAGTAGGGCGAAAAGCAATATGTAAAAGTCACTGGCAAAGTACACTTATGTTTATTAAAGCTTATGTTTATCTAGAAAGACTACTCCAGTCTTATGTATACAAATATTTCATAAAATGTGGACCAGTATGTCTGGTACACTTCAGACACCATCCCTTATGTTTACACATACATGCTTTGTGGACAAACTACTAATGCCTAATTTGAGTATTTTGCTTTGCTTATGATACATTATCAAATTTTTTGCACATGCATTCATAAGAGGTCAACTTATTTTCATATATGAATATAGGGTCAGCTCATATATGAATTCTTCTCCTTCTCCATTTCCATGTATTTTCTGCCCTTTTCCCCCATTATATGTCTTGTGATCTGTGACTTTCACTTTTTGATAGCTGCTATTGTAATGCCACCCTAACCACTCTCCGTTTCCAAAGAAAACAAATGTTTTCAAATTAAAGAGTAAAATAAGACAAGTGACAATATCTCACCCTGAGATGATACAGCACCACTCCTGTACTGAGGATATCATCATCCATGGCCATTAGATGAGGTAAACTAGAATCTATTGTCACTCCAGCTTTTTCTTTGTTGATGTCCACACTGTATTCTTCCATGATGGCTTTCCTGTCTGTCCACTTACTTGTCCAGTCTTTGGTCAATTGCTCAATCTTAAAGAATAGGGAAAAAGAATAGAAAACTGTTTCACTTACTAACACAATCATTTTTCTCATATGTAAATTTCTTCAGAAAGATCAGCATTTTTTCCAGTTACTGGATGCAAAATTTTTTCACCAGTTGCAATTAGAAATAAACCAGGTGTATTTCTAATTGCAGCACATTTCTGAGGCAACAAAAAAATTGGGTAAAAACTGTACTACCACCAAGTGAAACCAGTTTAATCTGTTGGAGACTCATTCCCAGAATGTCAGAAAGAGGCATGATCATGCTAACAAGTTACGTTGCCCGTCTTTGAGCAAAACTTACACTTAATGTCTCCAAAACCTTTCCTGGTCACCAGTGACCAAATCTTTTTAGTAATATTAGTGAGTGCACAATAATTTCATTTGAATAAATTGGAGTTTAGTCTTAGAAGGGACAGACACTGTATAATGAATTGCTGTGGGGTATTGAGACAGCTTTCAAACAAGGAGTAGATTGCGCAGACTTAGTGACACACGATGGACTGTGTCCCATTAAGGACACAAGACTTTTATCACAAATTGGTAGAGTGCACTCAACATGGATTAGGATGTCAGTTTCCTGAATCTTCACAGTAAAAAAGAAAAGGATTAAGACAAAAACATTTTCACTGTGGTTTCAGAACTACAGCAGTGTTATCCCTCCGTCCTAGTGAAACAGGATTTAGTTACAGCATCAAGTAAATCGTACACACCTTCATTTCATTCTGAAGGACCAGCTCAGTCAGATTTCCATCCCTGTCATCACTCCACGATGGACTGGAATTCCTCTATATAAACAACAGCCACCAAGATCTACATGTTAGTTTCCTTATTCACAACTAGCAGGCATATTAGTTCACTTTCTAGCATTTCAAGGTGATGAACTCGGGAGAGTGAAAGACAAAATACACATGCTCCCTTCTAGCATCTAGCCTACATGTCTAGCTATTACACGCAATTTTGGGGGGGTAAAGAACTGGTGAAAAAGCAATAACAGAGAGATACTTCTGTGCAAATAAATCCTGGAGTGTAGTTCCTGTCTCTCCCAACAAAACATTCTCTCCATGGCTTGGAAAACCAATACACTATTATTATTCAAAAGCAGAAGAACACCAGGAATGTAATCTGTATTGTAAGGGCTTACAGATGTTCACAAGTTCTTTTGGGGGACAGAGCATTCAGGCACTTTTGAGGTCACTAGTTCACAAGTCTGAAAAAATTACATCAATGGTTATTATTTTGTACTGTTTCGGTGTTTCCATATCCTTAAAAATAAAATACTTCTATTTCGTGGTATTTTTGGACAGGAAAACCATCCAACACCATGAGAGACAAATCCTTTTGAACTCTGCTTATACTTCAGGTTGATCAATATAATGACAGAAAATGGGAGAAATTATAGAAATGCAGTTAATCTTATAATAATTGCAAAATCACCAGACAACACTTTAATTTCCCTCCAGTTACAATAAACATGCAAAGATACACAGATCAGATGAAGGCAAGCAACTGTAGCTACTTAAAGCAACACAAAAGCTCCAGTGGGGAAGAGTTGCTACATACCAGTTCAAAGCTCATCAGCATAGTTTTCAACCGATCAATTTCCTCTCTCAGTTCTCTGATCAGTTTCACATTTGCATCCTGAAATATCAAGACACAGACCACCGTAAAAAACAATTCTTAAAAAAAATCCAGCTAAAGTAGTCAAGGCAGAGATACTCAAACAGCCAGGAGGACAGGAGAACAGGCAAACTCCCAGCAATCCTCCTTGCCACACTCTGCCCCTTGGATGTACTGCCTAGGGGCAGGTGGTTCCCATCTTCAGTAGGTTCTCTTTTCCCATAAACTTTGCTCCATCTCTCTTCTGAACACAGACCTACCATAGCATTTGTTCCCATCATGACAAGCTGGATACATCACTACTTTTAAGGATTTACCTTCAAAATTGTTACATTAGGTCAGAAAAATACTGTTACTTAATGCTGATATATAAGATCAGATTAAAGAAGACTAAGTCGGGATGTCACCAAGCATGGTATTAAAAGCTCTTGCAGCTGATGCTCAAAGAATTTCCTGCCTGCTTGTGTGGAGGCATTTATCTCACGTTCAGAGTAAGCACCTCTGCACTGGCACTTTCTGGAAACTAGCTTTTTAGACAGTTCAGGCAAACTCTTGAGTCAAGAATCAATTTTCTCTGGGCTGACTGTGACACTTTGGCTCATGTCAATTTGCTGTGGAGGGAAGAAGACCGAAGAGCTGAAGAGAGTGACGGGCACATGAGCTGGGAGGTTGAGAGGCTTGTATGTGACAAGAGGCTTATCCAGGAGTGTTTACTTGCCTTTAGCCTGTCACAGAGTTGAGAACTGCTGGTGACAAAACAAAGCACACTATTTCTGCCACTAATGATGTCAGAAGGCACTGGTAATACAGACACAAATTAAATTTCAGAAACCTTGGATTAGAAGGGTTTAATTCTGCCCATATTTAACAGCGTATTGTTAGGAAAGCAAGTAAGTGAAGTCCATCTCTAACATTCTATGCTTTTATCTACAGAAAAAAATCTTGATACACATAGACCAAATCACAAAATAATACTACTAAAGCCGTAAAGCCAACGACTTAAAGATTAGGAAATGCTGGAATCACGACTTCTTTTGAAACCCAAATTCAGTGGATACCCCTTAGATGGATATGCTGTGATTCAGTCCTTAAGTTATTTGCTCACATGTAAAGGCAGCCTCATGCAGAAGGCCAGGTGAAGAACGCTCAGAGAGCAGCAATTCAAGAGTTTTATATTTCTAGCATTTGTGATGGTAGATCTTGCTTACTATGCGCTATTTGAATTTTGCTATGAAGACAGACAGAATTATGCATTTCCTCGTGGATTACATTTAATGCTGATTCTTATCACTATAAGTTTCTAAAACCTCCACAACTACAAATCAATTTCTTTTAATATCATGTCTTTGATTGGAAGAGTTTAAGTTTTCACATTTAATAAATGTTTACTAGGGGTAAGGGTGGAAAATGAGGAAAAAAGCACACATTGAAAGTTTACTCTAAGAATCTGGACTAGCACTGAACAAGGGTTTGCAACAGAATTCAGTCCTTGAATGCAGTATCTGACTCTCCCGTCAGTAGTCTGCCATCTTTTAACTTGTGCAGCCTGTGAAAGACCCCTGCACAGTCAAACAGATGGATCTACCATACAGTCAGAGTTCATTTCTGGAACAGGTCTGTTTTGTGCAATGAATGAAGCTGGGGTTCTGTGGTCACTATTGTTCCCATGTGTTTAAAGGTTTCATTATTTTTGTGTATGAAAAAGAAGACAAATGGAGACTACATAGGCTACCTTAGGCCTGGTATATTAACTTTAGAATTCTTGACGGCAACCTTAGCAGTGTTCATTTAACTTGCCAAAGGAAGGGTTGCAAGGGTTATGCACTTACAGTATCAGGTTAAATAGTAACAGGTAGTCCTAACATATCTGTAACTCTACTAATATTTATGATAAAGACACAGATTAAACATACACGTCATACCAATTCAAAGAGAAAGATGATTGAAACTCAATGGACAGAGAGGAAGAATGTAAAATAGGTGTGAAATTTTAAATGGTTTAAACTTCAGGGAATCAAGGAAATTATTTCTGTAGTACCAGGCTCTTATTTAGCTCTCATTAACTTGGAAAAAAAAGAAGCAAGAGTTTTATTCATAGAGCAGATATTCTGAATAAACCTTAAACAACACACGTAACAAAATGGGACAAAAATCAAAAGCAAAACTCAAGGCCTCACCTCATTCACTCTGGGCTTGTTAATAATATTTTTGGCATTTGAAGCATATCTCAAGGTACTCATGGTCTCATTGTAGCTGGAGCTGGCAGGGGAGATAGCTACAGACAGAAAACAATTAGAAAAGAAACAGTTCTAAAAAGTAATCAGTTTAACCTATAATTTTTAAAAACAGTATATTTTTTTTAGTCTTGCTTATTTAAAAACAAACCAGAAAATATACTTAGGATTATTTCATTAAACTCATAAGAAATGTCTTCTAAAGGTTGTATTTATAATTGAATGAACATTTAAATCAAAGCTATGACCTTGGAAACTCTTAACTTCATGCATAATCAGCTGCCTTTTCATTTCCTGGAGTATTCTATGAAGTATTTATGAAAACCTTTACAAGGACAGATTCTAAGTGATACAGCTGCCTTCTCACTGCAGTAGAGATGTACATTAAAGGTGCAACGTAGTGATGTTAACAATTAACAGAAACCAAACTCACTGGCAATCATAATGGTTTTGGAGTTGCCCCCCAGACTGTCCTTGAGAAGCCAGGTGAGGATGGAGTCACGATATGGGATGTAAGCCGGCCGCCTGGTCCCACTGACGCTGCCCGTGGTAGGACTGTCTGCATGACTGCTCTCCCCTTCGCTTGCGATGGTGTTAATGCTCTGGCAGCTGCTGAACATCTGCGAATTTTGTGCTGAAGGAGAAATACCACAGAACTCAGGAAAGGGGTTATTTTTTTTTCCGTCATGGCTATTTAATTTTGTTACATGTCAAGACAGTTTATGAAGACACCACAGCTGCTCTGTTCAGCTTTTTATTATAAATGCAAATAAGCATTAAGACACAATTCGTGGTGAGTCATATGTTTTTATCACTACCCTTCAATATAAAGAACTGATGGGCTTACCTAAAGTGGATATGACGATTCCAAGTGTCACTAATGACTTGTTAATATTGGCACCTTCAGTAATTCTATCTTTACAGTAACTGGGATCAGCTCTTTCACTGTAGCATGCAAGCATGAAAAAGACAATGCAAAGTAAACAAAAATGCTTAATTATGAATATACAGTCAATATGAAAATATTATGTACTTTCAAGAAATAACAAGAAAACAGAAATTATGAGCTTTGCAATTAAAAATCTATATTCTTTGAATATTTCATATTGGTCTCTATTTCAGAAATCCAAACAACCATAAGCAAAGGCTATTGGTTCAAGGTTTTGTTAAAGACACACCAAAAATATAAACTCAAGTCTGAACTGGGCAACCCAATCATAGCAGTTCTGAATTTAACAAAACCCACATAATTTCACAACTCTGCAAGGGTACACTGGCTCAGTACAAAAGTCCCCTCAATTCTACTTTCTCTGTTCATACATGCATGGCAGTTCACATTCTTGAGGAAAAAAAGAACTCCTGTTTTAAAACTCTTCAGCACAGCTCCCTTTTTTCTGTTCTCTGTCACATCCAGCACAACCACATTTCCTCACTGAAATGCATAGCTAAGATTAGAGACTTAGGAACTTTTGGAACATGAAAAAAAATTACCTCTTTGCCCCTCAAAATATTATTACCTGCCTGCAAGGTCCACTAAGTTGATCTTGCTTGCAATTTCAGAGGGGAGATTGTTCTCCAATATAGCCTGGAGAGAAAAACACAAATAAGGAAGATTATTCCCCTTAATTAATTAACGAAAATAAAATGAACATGCTCTCTCGTTTGAAACTGAGTTGTGCATATGACTGTCTCACTGCCTTTCTTTGTGACCTTGAACCTTTATGTTCAAACCATTAACTCAACAGCTTTCTCACCGGACAGAGAAACTACCCTCTTAATGCCAATTTCCCCTTGAAAAAAAACTTTACTGCCTAGTGACTGTGAAAGGCTTTCTTGTAGATCTTGCAGAGTTATTTTCCACTAATGTATTCCAAAGGTCTTTTGTGAAACTACAGAAAAATATCCCAAAATGTTCTGTGATTACAGGATGTTAGAAGTGTGAGATAGAAAAGGTCTATTGGATCACTAAACTAGTTCCCTGCCAGGGAAGGATATAACTCCTCCAGAGAAAGGCTGCATTGTCTCTGGGAGAGTATTGGATGCCAAATGCTAAAATACAAGGACATCTAAAAGGCTGGACAGATACAAAATTTTGGTGTTAAACTAATGCTATACTTCAATTAAGCATCTTAAACAAGTGTGACAAAACATAATTTCAAACATATTCACATGCAATTTTCACAGCATTCTGGAAGGGGTATTGCATTCCAAAGAGCTGATTAAAACTGAAAACATTTCTTTTTTAAGTGAATCTTTGGCATCACTTCTGACTATAAGCTTGCACAAAGGAACAGAATACTTCAGTAAACACCCAGCACATCAGGCTGTGTAGGAAGTGTAACTTATCTGCAGAGGGATCCAAAGGAAATAAGTAACAGCTTCCACTAGATTATTACGAACAGCACAAAACAATGACAAGTAAACAATTCACAACACAGTGAACAATGCTTTTGAGTGTGAAAAGGAAGTAGAATTATTTTTAGCTAACCTGAGTGTAGTGGATGGTGAAGATAGCATGGGATCTGCTGCTGGCACTGTGAATATGTGTAGCTGCTGTGATTCTAGAAAGAAGAACAAACCATTCAGTCACAAAGGGTTACTTCCCCATATTCAGGGAAATAAAAACCGAACAAATATGGCATATAAGTGAAGATGAAGAAATGTGAAACTTAGAGAACATGGCAGGCTGCATTCTTGGATCTGATCACAGAGCATTTGGCAAAGAACCTGGAAGGGCAGAAACTAGGGATTGATTAGAGCTGTTTCTGTCCACCAGCAGCACTCAGAAGAAATACCTTAAAGCAGCTTTACAGCACAGGTGTAAGGCATTGCATAAGCACAGAACACAGCAGAGAAGTACAGCAAGCAACAGCATCAAACAGTCCACCCCAACACTACTGAATGTACCAGCCCAGCACATTTTCTCCATTTTGTCCCCATTTTTATTCCTTGGCACTTCCCAAGGGTCCAAAAAGCTTCACACCCCACTTCTGGGGCTCTTTTATGTCAAAGGGTTGATACAGTTCTTTTACACTGTAGGAGGAGTCCAGTGAGATTACCCATGTGAATTCTAAATAAATCCTTTAATTCACTGTGTGGCACTTGCTTGATTTTATGACATGGACAGACCTGTCACACAGCTGTAGCGCTCTGACCCACTGCACTCTTGCAAGGACCAGGCACAGGAGCAGGAGAAGCAGCACCATCCAACTGTAATGCAAACTTTTGGAAATTCTACTTTCTTTACTGTTGTTTTAATTAGACAAACCCAAAGAAAGCAGGATTTTGCCTAGGGCAGAAGCCAGGCCACAGATTTTTTTTCTTTCTTGTAGCCTGCCTTGAGTATTAGCTATACGTAGAGCCTTTAGCATCAGTTTTGCCAAGCCTACCCTCAACAACAGAAGGTAACTTTAGAAGTACAGAAAAGGACCGTGGTACCATGCTTTTTTTACGAGCCCAGCTGTCAGAGTACTGCAGACACCAGCTGCACTAGAGAGTAGAAAGTTGCAGCTGTGCATACACTGCTGAGCACCCACAGCATGCAGGTAAAGCCAGGACTCTCCTCCCTGTTGTTCTCTGCTTCCTACACCTCCTCCACAGCCACGTGAGCAGGCACTGCCAAAAGCTACAGGCAGTCAAGTGCATCACGGTTTAAGTGAGCTTAAGCTGAGGTAGCAGGAGAACATAAACTAGTCTCCAGATGTTGGAGGAGGAAGACAATTAGGTAAAGGGCAGATGACAGAAAACAGCTCTACAGTGTGCAGAGAATATAAGGGAACAGCACTGAAGTTTATAAAGCAAAAGAGAAAAAGAAAGTGCCTTGGAATTCAGAGGAGAAAGTGTTAGTACTCATTTCTCACCTCCAACAATATACAAGATAATTGGAGGGCTAATTCACATCTCAGCTACACAACCCATTTGAACATTTTATGTGAGAGTGTATGTGCTAGTTTTTCATATATTCTGTTATGTCATGGTGAGTGTTGTACATTTTAATATTGTTAACTGTTCTGGTAATATTATCCAGATTCACTCGTTGTTTACAGAACCAGGACCTTTGGAAATTTTTATTTGCTGCCTTATAAAAAATTTAAATCTTAAACATTTGAAACTGAGTCTTGTAAAGTGTCAAGAGAAAAAAAAAAGCATTGAGAGTAGCAACAAATAATGATTGCATGTTGAAAATCTTATTTACTTATTTTATAATGAGCAAGTGTGCCCAAAGTGGGGCTAGAGATGACCTGATAAAACCAACTGGTAGAAAAAAATTCCTTCAGTAAACTGATTCAGTAAACTCTGTCCCATGAAAGGCACTACCCATGTGCAAGGGGAGAGTCCCCTCCTATCTTTCCTGTGTAGTCAGACCTGGAGCCATCACACCCCATCTGCTCCTCTCCTGCCTCCAGCCATAGGGGGCAATTGCAACCTGTTCACCACTTTCTTTATCCTTAAGATCCTGGTGATGATCATTTGGCATAATTTCCCAGACTGCAGATGTTTTAAATGAGTTTGATTGTATTTATGATGTGCTAATAAATACTTGGCAGAATATTTAATAAAAATAGAGACTACAGGAAAGCAAGAGTCTCTTGCATGTTCCAAATAAGTTTTGGAAAAAATACTCAGAAAAAGAAATTGTTGGTTTGTTTCATGCAAATGACATAGTTGGAAACTTCAGCACCACAAAAACTTACATACAAAATATTGCACCTCTGATTTTGTTTCCATTACATCTTCAATTTCCTTAGCAACGAGACAACTGTAGGATTACACTCGTAGACAGACTGGAATTTTGTTGTTCTGAAATAGTCTCTTCTTACCATAGAGCTGCATCTATTGATTGCCACAAGCAGAAGCAGCAAAACCTTATCTTGATGTATATTCTATTTTTTTTGTGATAATGCAGCTTAGTTTTTATTTACTTCCCAGCATCACTGTTATTCTAAAATCTTGGCTATCTTATGATAAGACTTAATATCAGTTTTAGAACTGTAATTTGCATTTGGAGGATCTTTTCAAATATGGCTTTTTCCATTGCTGTAATGGAAGTTGTAAAGATATTCAAGGCTTCTTATTGAGAAGGTAAAAAAGTGTCTTGACTAAAGAGAGTCAAAATCATTGTCTTCACCAGTGTGCCAAATCCTGCAGTTCTCTCATAGCAAGCACACATGATTTGGACTAAGAGCTTCTAAAAATATTAATAGAAATTAAACCAAATAATTATAAACCAAATACTTCTGGAAAAAATAAATAAATATACACTATATTTTCAGCTGTTAAATTAAACTAACAAGTGAGCTGAAAGCTATACAGTCTAAAGTGTCATAAGCAAGTGAATGGGAAAAACAGATGTCTGATTGCAGCAAAATGTTTTGTTGGCTTGCATTTTTGATCACAGACAGATGGTTGAATTTTGTGGGTAAGTCAGTATGGGATCAGTTTTGAAAAAACAACTTCATGAGTGCTTAATGCTCTTGCTGTGGACAATATGAGGATACATAACAGCTTATACATAAGTTCTATGCAGGATCAGCAAATCTGACATCCTGTCATGACAAACCATTGGCAACATGGTCAGTAAAACAAACATCAATGAAATAAACACACGGTGGAAGAAGTGTTAAATAGAGATGGAGCTGGTTTGTTATATAAAATACCTTTTAGCTATTCCTTCTTCTAGAAGTTTTACAACTTGCTTGTAGTCTGTAACTAAATGCTGAGTCAATCCTGCCAAAGATTCAAGAAGAGTTAAATATATAGCTTTCTCAGGAAGTTTCAGCCAGTAAATCCAACAATTTACCCAACATCAGAAGCATAAGGATGTTCTGCTGAGATGTCAGTCTATTCTACAAGTAGTCTCTTAACTAGAGTAACTTTTATTTTAGAAAATCCCAACTATTTTAATTTTTAAAAAAAAGTTAAAAATTGCAGTCCATCCTTCAGTGATGCACTGTACCTTTGAAGTGCAGATCTTTTTCCAACTTGTCTGCAGAACAATGTTATTTAAAAGCCACTCTAACTCCATAATAAATGTTGAGCTATGTCACTCCTGCTAATTGGGTACAGATCCTGTAAAGAAGCCGCTGCCTCTGGATAATGGTTCTGCTCACGCAACTAACAGAATTCAGAACCAACTAGCTCTTGTGAATATTCACCACTTACTTAGCTAGGCTTCATCCTGCAGTTAGAAGTCTTCATGCACTTCTCTCCTCAGACAGTTTTTGAGGGATGTCCCCAAATAATTGTATGAAACATCTGGCATTTTCTTTCTCGTCTCCTGCTTTCAATTTAGGCTTTAGTTAGTATGTTTGTTTTGTTTTGGGGATTTTCTATTTGATTTTATTTTCAAGGGGGGAACCTCTTAAACAAATGAAAGAAATACTCTATTCAGAGCCTGCTGTGTTAGAGGGGTGGTGGTGACTACGCAGGCCCCAGTGGAGGGCAGTGTGCTGCTGTGCTGCACCGGCCCTGCCAGCTTCTTGCAAAACGCAAATTCCAGCAGACATACAAAATTATCCTCAACAGGCTTGTGTTTCCCATAAATCCAGTTTAATATGCCTCATTTCTATTTTATGGTGATGATTATTCGTCATTTGCACTGCAGTGACTCCTTAAAAAACACCTGAGCTATGAAGTAAGTCTTCATCCTACAATACTCAAGTAAAACATGCCTGTGCTGAATGTTTTATCTCACAGCTGGAATCCAGGGTAACTTTCTCCCCCTGCCACAGATTTGGGTTTGGGTAGTTTTACTACAGACCACAAAAGTATGGATGAAGGCCAAGTACTGAAAAAATCTGATTTATTTTGATCAAATAATTTATCTACTGCTAGAACGCATGTCAAGATTAATGTAAAATTCAACAGGACTGAAATAAGTACTTCTGACATTGTTAGAGTCTATTCTTACAGGATAACAGCTTGCATAACTTCAAAAGAAGACAAAATCTAAGTCAAAGATGGGAATTTACGTTAATCCTTTAACAACTGATACACATAAAGAAAAAATTATTTTTGGATCAGCCATACTTTAAAAAAACCCCTCACTGCAGTATGCACGCATGCACACTTGCACACACACAAACTATACAATGATTTTCAAACAAAACTATTTCTTCTGCTCTCTAGTGTCCCTTTACAATACATTAATTCCAGAAGTCATCATATTTTCCATTTGAGAAAGAGGCCCACTATGTTTCCAGCAGCTCTGGGATCTTCAAAGCTCAGAATATGGAAACTATCTACATTGTTTTCCCAGACCTTTTTTCAGGGTCTTATTTAACTGCATAAAAACCCAGCTATGAAAAACAGAGGCACGGAAGAAATTCTTACCTGCCTACATTTCCATAGGCACTGAAATAGTGAATCTAGTACAGAGTTCAAAGCGTTCAGTTTTTTGATAAGACTAATGAAATACCGCAAATTTTGCTTGAAAAGAAATGACAAAGTGTTCTGTTGACTGTTAGAAAAAGAAAGGTCATTTTCAAATAACATAGAAAGATCAAAAACGCTTGTTTGTCTAGAAATCTGCCTTGGAGTAAGAAAGGATCTCCCCCAGAAATCTGTCTCAGAGTAATAAAATAGATTGCATCATTTCCTGATTTAAGAGAGGCTGATTCCTTAACAGTGCAACCATCTGTGAGAGAGAAGTTTGAAACGATTCCAATCCAAAGCACTGAAACACTTTCAGCATTTTAAAGGCTACAATCTCTCAGCCTTTACGTGTAAAAACGATGGGCTGGAAACTATTCAGTACACTTAGTGTTCAGAGCTGGGACTTCCTGAGTGGACTTGCAAATGAAAATTGCATTTCCCAGAGCATCTAAGCACCCTTAAAGGGGTGAAGTTTTCTGATTTTACTCTCTCTCTGTTCTTCATCCACTGTTAACTGTACTCTGGATATCATTGACACCAAACACACAACTGAAACCAGTGGTACACTGATCAAAGTCAGCACACCTTAAAACTGCTGATTGCTTGCAAGAAGTGTGATGCAAATACAGATGCTAATCCTTATCTTGTTTGATCTATGAAAAATAATGGAAAATTTCTGAGCCTTGTTGACGTTCACCATTTTTATTTCTCCCATACAGCAAACTGCCTGGAAGAGAAACATAAAACAAGCTGTCCTTCTAGTAAATTTGCTGATAATTTTGATCTCTGCCATCTAGCTATTGGAAATAATATTCTTGCTGAATATAACACTCTGATCTTGAACAGAGACACTACATATAAAATTGCCAAAGACTACTTCAACATGTACAAGGCCCTCATTACACAGCTCAGCAATTGTTAATTGTAGCAATATATTACTGCAGCTGAGAAGGGCACTTTGTACCAGTGCTGTGAACCTCTTCATTTTCTTAAATTTGATGTTATTAAAATCTAGTTGACTGTACTCCTCACCTGCTTTCAAAAGACCTTTGGACTTTGTTACTGCTGCTTATTTTTGATGCGAGCTACTGAATGCAGTTCCAAAACGAGCTATCACACTTTCTTTATTACTCCCTCCCCCAACAGACACCAGAGTTGCCTAAAATAAAGCAAACTGTCGCAGTTCTTAATTGCATAAACTGTACATAGGCAAATTTATTTATATATATTTATATACACATCTAAAAAAAAAAGAGAATTATGTCATCTGTTACACTAAGCCACCGACTCACAGAGCCCGAAATCACTTCTTTTCACGTGGTCTCACAACAGCATCTAATTACATTCTGTGATGTCTTCAGTAGAGAAATTACTTCATTTCTCATGCACGTGTTCAGTTTTTTTGAAAAATCTGAATCACGCCATTAAAATTTAAATTTTTGTTACTGGCATTAACATAATGTTTTTTGCAGGCTGTCATAACAGACAGAGGGAGAGAATCCTCTAAAATAAACTATTAAAACTGAACTAATAACTGTGGTAAAAAGTGGCAAATATTACTTGGGTTAATCCTTTGCCAATATCTTTTCCTCTCAGCTACAAAATCTAATCAACTGGGAATTTCATGGCATATTTGAGAACTCTAGCATAAAACTGTTCCACTCAAGATCTTCAGTTGTATCTAAGTATAAAATCCTTTTTCAAAAGGAGTAAATTTAAAAAAACACAAAGTAAACCAACAAACAACAACAACGAAAAAAACCCACAACAAAAAAATTGAAAAACAGAATTGAAAAACAAGTGACAGAATTGGCCTGGAAGGTTCCAGAAGAAGACAAAATACTGACAAAGGACAAGCCAGCCCACTGGCAGAAGCTATAACTGTATTTTCTTTTAAAACAGGGAAACTCCATTATATGCAGCCAAGGAATCACTGGAGATATAAGGTCCGAGAAAAGGGATGGAAATTACCAAGGAAGGAAGCAGTTTAAAGACCTTTTCTTGTGTGGTGAATGAGCAGCTGCTAAAAGAAAATAATTAGTATCTGTACTCCACCAACAATGAAGTTCTACGATAAGCAGGTAGAAAGAATCTTGGAAAGACCTCAGTAAAGGCCAAATGTCTACAAATCTGCTTTTCAAAGAATGATAAGTTTGCCATACTAATGAGACCATCAATTCATCTATTTTGCAACTCTCCTTAAACAGGATGCTGATGTGCTGGGAAAGCACAGCTGAAATAACCAGAATGCAAGATGGGCCCTTGTGTATAAGACTACGCAAGTTCAACACTTTCCAAGCACTGATTTCAAATTCTGAGAGGAGGAATTTGTAACAACCACTGGTTGTTATATGTAGTGTGACCAATACAGCAGGTGTCCAGGGAATCAGAGATGGGAATTTCAGGCTCTATTCAATCACATAGTGAAGTCACCCTATCTGTTGTCACATTTTGCCTTAATCTCTAAAGTGAGGATAACAATCCGATGTGTAACGCTGTAGTAAAGAAAAGGAGAGGGAGAAAATCAAACCAGGGAGAACAAAAAAAATTTACAAAACAAACAGAGAATTCTATTTAAAACCCAGAAAAAAATCAATATTTGATCTCATGTGACAGGACCCACAAAATTCTATGTGATATGGATTTTGTGTACTAAATGCATATCCCCCAGGTGTTACTATCCACTTGGTGGCCAGCCAAGCAGTTGCAGTCAGTGATACCAGAGGCGGCTTAGGAATTTTGCCCACTGTAAGGCAAAATGAAAAGGAAATGTATGCATTTACTTCCTAAAAAAACTTACTAATTTATGAAACTTGCATCAGTTTGGAAAAGACTCCTCTGATCTCCAGTGTAAAGCTACAGTGTATGATTTTGCACGGGTGCACCAATTTTGAGATCTGCCTTTTGTCAGTTTTTGGGCAGACACACAGCAATGTAGCAGGCAAACTTTACACCAGGAACTAATTGATTTACAAAGTACCAAAGGCCAAATTGCAACTGAAAGATCGGTGAGACCCTGAGGTGAAGGCACCAATCAAAACTGAAAATGAACTGGAAGTAGAAAAATGAGAGAGAAGAACTGAAGTAAGAAAGACAACTGAAATGGGGAAAAAAAACACATTTTAATTTTTCATCTGTTCTTGGTCGCATGATTTGAAAGTTATGATTCACTAAAAAACACAAACCATCTAACAGGCTGCTATTATAAGCGTGAAGGAGTAAAATGTAGGGAGAAAATTTGTGTGGCCAAAGCTCAACTGGAACTGAAGTTGGACAGTACTGTGGGGACAACAAAACCAGTTTTTTAAAATACCTTAATAGCTATGAAGGCAGAGAGGCCCTGCAGAAAGACATTAACAAATCAAAGGGCTGGGCAATCACCAAAGTTTATATAAAGTTTATATGAAGTTTAATAAAGAGAAGGGTCAGATTCTGCATCTGGCATGGGGCAACCCTGGATGAATGTATAGGCTGGGGAATGAGAGGCTGGAGAGCAGCACCACAGAAAGGGACCTGGGGGTCCTGGTCCACGGCAAGTTCAATCTGAGTCAGCAGTGCCCTGGCAGCCAGGAGGGCCAGCTGTGTCCTGGGTGGCATCAGGCAAAGCATCGCCAGCTGGTCAAGGGAGAGGACTGTCCTGCTCTGCTCTGCACTGGTGCAGCCTCACCTTGAGTCCTGTGTGCAGTTTTGGGCACCACAATGTAAGCAGGATGAAAAGGAGTGTCCAAAAGAAGGCTGTGAGGGTGGTGAAGGGGCCTTGAGGGGAAGCCATGAGAAGAGTGGCTGAGATCAATTGGTCTGTTCAGCCTGGGGAAGAGGAGACTGAGGGGGCATCTCATTGGAATCTACAACTTCCTCATAGTGAGGAATCAGAGGGACAGGCACTGATCTGTTCTCTCTGGTGACCAGTGACAGGACCCAGGACAAAATCTCATGAAGTTGTGTCCAGAGAGGTTTAGGTTGGATTTTCAGAAAGGGTGCTTCACCCAGAGGGTGGTCAGGCACAAGAACAAGCTCCCCAGGGAAGTGGTCACTGCATCAAGCCTGACAAAATTCAAGAAGTGTTTGGAAATGCTCTCAGGCATATGGTGAGATTTTTGTCGCTGTCCTGTGCAGGGTGGAGAGTTGCAGTTTGAAGACCCTTGAGGGTCCCTTCCAACTCAGGATGTTCTGTGACTCTATAATTCTGTGATTCTATGAATTAAAAAGCCATGATGATTTTAATCATATAATGCACCTACATTACCCATCCTGCGCTTTTTCAGTTTAATGAAGAAAAATGAAGCTTTTTGGGTTCTCACTTGGGTAATACAGATTTTAATCATGGCCTGCCCTACAACATCCAACAGTTGAATTTATCTACATTTTCTTTTTTTAAATGTACATTCTGCTACCAGAGCCCAAAACAGGTATGGAGGGACCCTAGGCTGGTGTGGAGAACCCATTTAGACCTGATGCTGGTGGATTTCTTGATGAAGTTAACATTTTATTCAAAAGAAAAGAAAGCAAAATACCATGGCTCACATACAACCTAGACCTGGAAAAGCAACCAAAAAGGTGCAGGACATCCAACCAGTAGGATAACAGAGGCTTTCAGTGTATTATACACGATCATGTTAACACAAAAAACACTTGAGGAAAGTAACTCTTGAAGTTAGGAACAACTCTAGAATTAGGAACATGCCAGGAATATATATGCAAAGACACATACAGACCTGATACACATTTACTTGCAATTTTGCTGCTAATTGTGAAACCCACTCTCACCTTGCACATATGGTCCTGTCTCTGGGTGCTCTCGGACTCGAAGTGTATAAGGTTTCTTTCGGTCTGACTGTTTTAACAAATCTCGGACACGCTCATTATAGATTTCAAGAAAACTGAATAGCAAAGAAAAAAAAAAGCTAAATGCACTCAAAACAAAAACAAAAAGAGAAATCATATATTTAGACAATGTAACTAACTGAATTTTGCATAGATGTTTCACACTAGCGGGTACAAAGCCCCAAATTTCCAAACATACTGCTCATTAAGTCCATGGAAATGATAAAGAAGAACGGAATGTAGGATTATGGCTCAAATTCAGGAGTTAAACAAACAGGAAGAAATTTTTCACTACACTCCTATTTCAGCTGTCTATACAAAAGTGAACACACAGCATCCAAAGAGCTATACTGAGATGGAAACCTAAAACAAGCACTTCCTTATCCTTCCTCTGTGTTCTTCCCCTTGCTCCAAAATTACTATCATCTGAGAAAACAGAAACAAAACAAACTAGTTTTTACTTAGTTTGATCACAGGAATATGTTGTTGAAAGCTTTCATATCACTGTCCAAACCAGTGACAAACTTACCTGACCTTTACCCTGCAAGATGCTGTCTGGTCTGAGTAATCATCCTTCCTTGAAAAGAGGCCCTGCACAAACCAGAAGTTTATGTAAATTTTAAATACATTAAGAAAATGTAACTGCTTAAATAAATGCAGGTGAAGGAAAAAAAAATACCTCACATATACGAGGTGTCAGCCCAATGGACGCCTTCAAACAACAAACAGAAAAAAAAAATTAAATAATATACTTGTTGTCACTCGTGCAAAACTTATTTGTAAAATAAAAGCCAAGTTATAAGAAAAGGACAGAATCATAGTGCAATAATGACTTTATGATGGATTACAGCACAAACAGCTCTGAAGTGTAGCTTAACACAGCATGGCTATCTACAGCAAAAGTAATTTTAGAGCAACTTACACAGCAATGAGAAGTTTAGAGGCATGGGTCAAATACAAGAGCTGTTTGATGTAAATATACTGGACACATCTATGCCAGAGGTGTTGCAGTCTAGATGAAGCCGGGACAACACTGAAACTAGTTTGATTGGTCATGAATATTTTGGGGTTTTTTCCTTATTCTACTTTTATTTCTTCATGCTGTAGCACCACAGAGCAGTCTTAGAACAACTAGATTTATAAATTTATCTCTCAGAGAGAACATGATATGGGGCTGCTGACAGTACCCAAACTAGCTGATTTAAATTTTGCCCAAACAGTCTACACATCACTGAAGAAACAGTGTCGATTTGTGTGACGAACTGTTCTTATGACATGATTGCTCACACTTTAGTGACTGCAGTGCCAACACACTCTGGGAAAGACTCCAAGGCTTAGGTGGAATCTGCTTGCTGAATGGCATGGAAGGCTTTTAGAAGGCACATCTGACATGGTGTTCAGGAGAGAAAGTCAAGGTTCATCAAGTAGACCACCACAGACAGAAGTTCAGCTTAAACCAAACACTTGTTTCTTCTTAGTTTTGAACTCTGTTTCACACCAGACACGCATTGTTAAAGATCAGAACAAAGCAGCATTCCAATGGAGAAAGAAATCACTATCTAAGAAAGAAATCTCTTATAATGGTATTTCAAGATGTGGGCATTCTGAATTGCTAAGATATTTCTGAAACAGTATAATACCAATGCCCTAGTTTATCACCTATCAACTCCAATTTTAACAATTCTTCAGGTTTTCATGGTGCAAAGCTTGATTTTGCATAAAATTAATGGAGAAATGGGTAATCATTTAACAAAATCCTATTGTTGATGTCTGTTGAGAAAATAAAATTTAAAAACTCTTGTCAAAAGCACAAACCAGGCTAGAACAGTCTTTTTCTTATCTTCAGGGTTTGAACACATTTTGCCCTTATTTCACCTTAAAAATCGTATCCCAGGGATGTAGGAAATACTGATCCACTTACACAAATTGTTAAATTTTTCTCTTTTTCAGGGGCATGTTTCACCAACAGCTAAGAATATTTATGGATAAAAATCAAATTGCCTTGTGGTGTAGTAGAACACAGGAAGTCATAAACTGACTTTATCAATCTGATTACTAAGATGAAAATGCACTTTTAAATGATTCCTGGTAGACAATCTTAAAACGTAAGGGCTTCTGCAAATTCTATTCAAATACATTTCAAAACTAGAAGTGAATATTAGCTTCCACAAGCCAAAGAATAACTTCTGCAAGAGATAAATATCTCAAGTAAATAATTAAGCCTGTTGCAAAAATATTACTGAGAATTTTATTCAATTTCATTTGTGAAAGTAATTTTATTTCAGCACAGTTCAGACTGCCAAAATATTCCATGAGAATTAATACTTTGTATTACTTTGGGCTACAGTTTCTGAAACTCAGGGCTATTCAGGTGTATAGCTTTCCTTTGTCCTCCAACTTGGTGGCAAGATTCATGCATAGTAAGATGATCTAATAATAAATATTTAAACTATACTGTATTTTCTAGCATTTTACCTGATACTATCTGATTTACCTAAACGCAAAGGCTCTCATTTTAAACACTTAAATACCAAATAAAACATGTATAAGCATTCTGCTCAACAAGCACTATAACAGTTTAAAAATAAAGAGATGTTTCTGCTAGACTTCCTGCCCTCAAACTGGAGTTTAAAATGAATGGTGTAACTCACAGGTGTTCCCATCATTGTGTAAGTTTTTCCTGAACCTGTCTGTCCATATGCAAATAGGCAGATGTTGTATCCTCTAAATGCACCTGACAACACAGAAGTGCCAAGGTCCTGGAACACCTGAAAAGACCAAAAGAAAAAAACAAGTCCGTGAATAATATGTCTCATTATAAACACTCTTCATTACTTGCAGATCTTGCCCCTTTAATAACTCCATAGGAACAAAGATCTTCACAGTGTTTGTCTTTTGAACTTATCAGACTCAATGTTAAGTGCTCAGCATTCACTTGCTAGATCTTTCTTACAATACTAGTATGCCAAGCACAGTGTTTTGGAAGCTGAAGTGCAGGAAAACATTGGGTTGTTGATATGGAGGATGAAGAACAGTGACAAAAGTGTGAAAGACAGATGTTTGTAGATCTGTAGTCCAGAGAATAAAATCTGAGGGCAAACTGACTGAGACTGGAGTCAAGCAGTAATAAAGGACTAAGAAATTATAGGATGCATTATCTTGAAGTAATGGGAACAAGGCAATACTGTGCCCACTTCAGAGTATCAGAGTATCCTGAATGAATTCAGGAATTTTGCACAGCTAATTGTACACAGAAGTGGCCTAACACCAGCTTGAGTACTCCATATTGATTTCGAAATCTATAGTTCACATGATAGAAACTCTTACAACAGGGATAAACGCAGCCTAGAGAAGTATCTTGATTCTCTGATAGTTTCCTCATGAAGAGCTGTCCTCCTTTCTGAAGGTTCACAATGGATCTTTGAGAGTTAATAACAGAGCTAAGCATAATAAAATGAAATCTTTCCAAGGTGGCAAGCCTTCGGGATAGCAGCGCTAACAATGTCATCTGGACATCAAAGTTGGTTACTTAGAACAAAAGCATTTTACCTGTAGCTCTGTTGTTGGAACTTTTGTATGACATTTTGCAACTCACTTAACATTGTCATAGTTTGATTTTTCTACAGAGTAGGAAATAATACTACTCATTACTAGAATAAAGTAGGAACAATACTACCAATAACTAGAAAATTGTGAGATGTTCTTACTAGTATTCACAAAGTTCCTTGCGATCTAGAATATCCAAAGCAATTTAAGCCAACTGTGGAAATTACTGGGCACTCTCTCCACATACACTGGACTCCCTGAAAGAAGAGTCTCTAACTCCAAAGTCTCAGTAAAACAAAGCAAACTAACATTTACTCTCTATTAAATACACGTGGCTACTCAGACACATTAACACAAATATGTTTTAAATCAGACCTTTTTGAATTAGGCCTTGAAAAAAGATGCATAATACAAGCAAAGCTGGATAACTATGAAAACAGTGACATAACCCTAGGATGGTAAAGCACAAGACTTCCAAAAATTACTCACTGAACTTCTATTAAAAGCTGATTTGTACTCTTCTGTGTTTGTTCTTTCTGGTAAATTACTCTCTCCTTTTCTGAGGATAAATTACAATTAATTTAATAGAATATAGTCTCAATTTAGTCAGAAAAGCCTCTTTGTTTTAGTGTACTGAAGAAAAAAATGGAAAAGTAAAGCAGAGCAATGAATTTAATACTTGTTTAAAAATGAAGGAGAGTAATTGAAACCAAAGCTTTTTCTGTGCTAATATCAGAGGCATTAGTCCAAATACCCATCAGCAATAACAGCTGCAGATTATACAAAAAATACTATAATTAATCATTCAGGACATATGTACTAGCATATTTTATGATAAAATAGATTGAATCACGGGTTTTGTTGATCACAAGGGTTGGGGGAGGGGGGGGGAAGAAGATTCCTTTGGGATTCTTCCAAGTCTCACTTTTTAAATGAAACTTCAGTAAGATGAAGCTTTCCAAAGAACTTGAGTTGGATGTGGCTTCCTGCAGAGAACATGCCATTTGGCTGGGGAGATTGTGTCTTCCCTGCACAGTTGCTCTGCGTGATTGGCACTGTTCAGTTTGTTCCATGCAAGAGTGCTTCCTTCAGCAGAGCCCTAACTGGCTTTGCAATGGCTTTTCCCTGCACTTGCCCAGCTGTATGTGGCCCACATCCCATGGTGATCTGTGAAACGTTCTACAATTTATTACTTGTCAACAGTTCTAATGGTGGAAAACAACATGCCTTTCTGAAGAAGTTATGAGAGGGCATTAAGACAACTGTTATCGTTCAACGTACTCTGCTGGGATTCCTTGTGGATTACTTCCAACTTGGCATATTCTGTGATTCTGTGAATGTGGCCAGGTTCCAGTTCAAATCTAACAAATCCTGAATCATACAACACAGTCCTCATTGCAGTACAGGTGGGAGAAAGGGAAAGATTTGGTCTAAAATGTAGTTTAAATGTCCTAACTATGCAGCTTAGGCATACCAAAATGCTGTCCAAGTTGCTGTAATATAAACATATTTGGGGATGAGACTGTTTTATATTAGATAATAATCATTTACATCAAGTCTTAACAACAGGTCACTTGAACATTTCAAACCCTATTTCAATGCTCCACTAGAAGATACCAGAAATAGCGTATATTATGAAGACTTTTTTTTTCTTTTATGTTCCTCAACCTCTTAGTTACTAACAAACCAATGGCTTGTGGATAACACTTGTAATCTGGGTCCTTTCTATGTGACACACACAAAGACAAGACACAAGTGTGTTACCTGTCGGTTTTTCTTTTGTTCCTCCAAAAGGTTGGACATAATCAAACTCTTCTTTAATGCATGTGATTTAAACTAATGCTACTGACTTTTGTAACACAAGGCTCAATCAATATTGGTGTCTTTGACTTTTGTTTGAATTATTATGCATTGAGTAGATACACTACTAGGATAGTTAACAGCAAATATGTATTTTACACTCTAAGTGGAATAGGATGCCTTGATTCTGTGATAGTGTCCCTCTGACAGTAAAAAAATGCTTTAATTTTGAAGATAATGGGGGCATTCTATCAGAAATGAAAGTTTGGCAATATGAATTTCCCCACTATAAAACTTCCCTTTCTTAATCCAGTTAGAACCTGAATTACAAAAGGAAACAAAAAGCAGTAAAAGTAAATTGTCTGTTGTACTTTGAAGTTTAACATGTTGAGAAATGAAAGTTTTCCCAAGTCACTCAAATGAAGTCTCGGGGTAACATAAAAAAAAAAAAATCCAGTAAACTTCCAGGTACAGCATGTAATGCCACATGTAATGGAACAATAATGATAAATAAGGGTTTCCTGGCATTTGAGGGTTTTTTTCCTGAAATAGTTTCTGGTAAATAATATTTGCATTTTTTTAAAGAACAAGGAACAGGCAGAGACTAACTTTGACTGAAGTGGAGGAGAAGGGAGGAGAAAGCAGAAAGAGTAGGAGGGAGAAACCTACACCTTTTAGGAGCAACAAGCTAATAGCAGTTTATCAAATCTTATGTGTACAGTAACTGTTTTCTTATTTGCCAGTGTCTGAAACAGTCAATATTTAATATTAAAATTAGGAAACTTAATTAATCTTCGAAATTTTGAGGGACTTTATTTGGTCAAGGCAAAAAGACAGGAATTAAAAAAGGGTTTTTGAATAAATAAAATTGCTACTTGTTATAGGCATAGTCCACAAGCCTCAATATCTACAAACAACTCACTTAAACCAAACCAGTTTTACTGTAAAACATTAAGTTAAAGTTAGAATACTAAGATAAATTCCAACAGGTGTGTAACTGGGAAGACAAAACACCAGGAGAAAACCATCTTGCACAGCACATCTTAAAAACAGCCTTTAAAATACCACAATTTAATGAAAGAGGAAAAGACTAAACTCAAGTAAGACATACAAGTACTACAGTCAACAGCTACTTTTCACCACAGAACCAACAAATGACACTATAAATGCTGAAAAAACTCAATGGCCCAATTTCAATTATTCAAGAAATTCAAGATTTGCACACAGGAAAACAGAAAACTTCCTCATCAGTAGATAGAAAGCTTCAGAGTATCAAGACAATTGCAGCAGATCCAGCTACAAAATTATCTTAGTATAAAAAAGGTGCTATTATTTATTATACAAACAAAATCACTCTCAACCCATAGGTCAGGAGAGTTTAAGCAACTGCATAAAACCTAAAAGGCTCATTCCTGCAGTATGTGTTTGCCACAGTCTCCACTATGAACTACAGAAATGCTGTATCTCATATTTAGTGTGTTTTCCTTCCAGAACCTTGCCCCCTTCAAGCTCTTACTATTTGGGTTATGACTAAATTCTTTTTAACTAAATTGCTGCTACATCTCAGATGTAGCATCCAAGACTTAAGTCTAAGGTGAAAAAATATTTCATGAAACAGAATTATACAGAACTAAATAATTTCTGCCAAAATAATGAAAGCCTTGGTCCCCAAACTTTCATAAACTCCCCAAGATTAATTTAAATAAAAAAGCAGAAACAGGATACAAGGAAGGAATATGTGAAAACAAATCTAGGGAGTAGTTCCAATAATGCAAGGCTTTTATTGCACGTGTTTTCTCTTAAAGAATATTAAACTAATGTCAGCTGAAGGGCTTTCTGTACATGGCCAGAGAAAGCAGAAGTAAAGGGAAGCACATTATGCTGATGGGTTGCACAGAACCCTCTACTGTGACATGAGGATTACTTCAGCAACATTACTTTTGGGTTTGAATGGGATAAAGAGAAGGGGGGGAAAGGCATCGGTTGGTTAGTTTGGGAACATTTCTTCTCTCTTAATAAGAGACCACAGCTTCACAACTAGGATTATTTCTCTTCCCTCTCTCTATCCTGCCTTTTCAGTTTCTTTTTCCCAGTCAAACCGGAAGCAGGGCAGTGAAAGGACAGTTTCTCTCCAGCTCAACAAGCTTGGCCCGTGGCAGAGGCGTTTGCACCAGAACTTAAGAGACAGTTGTGTTCTTGGCTCTGCCAACAGACTTCCTGCATGTCCTTAAATCCTTTGTGCTTTCATTTTCCCTGTGAGAGAATACAATGATTGCTTTGTTCATCTTATCAGCTGTGATTTTTTTCCAGTGGAAAAACTGTCTGCTCTGTGTGGCGATATACATACACACACTAAATTTAACAGCATGACAGTGTAATCTTGATAAAGGTATCTAAGTGGAATTGTAAAATAAAAATATTA